AGTTTCAACTTCTTCCCATGAAGTTTACTCCAAATCTAAACTTGGGAATTTTGGAGATCATCTGCTTTGTTTTTGGCTGCACTGGGCTCTCTCCAGCTGCAGCAAGCAGAGGCTACTCTCCCGTTTCGGAGCTCGGGCCCTGGGCACCGGCTCAGCAGTTGTGCGGCACGGGCTTTGTTGCTCCACGGCATCTGGGATCTTCCTGAACCAGGGAAGGAACCCACGTCCTCTGAACTGGCAGGCAGATTCTTTTTTTTTTTTCTTGTGAATTTGTTTTTATTTTTATTGGGCTCCAGGGGATGGGATGGGGAATACCTCTGTAAGTTATGTCCCACTAGGAAGATGTCCATTCTCACTTTCCTGGGATAGCTTTTGGAGCTTTTTCTTTTTCTTGGAGCCACTGCTCTTGCTGGCAGCAGCCTCTTCAGGTCCACTGCTGAGTGGCTCCTCCTTGGAAGACAATTTCCGCTTTTTCTTGGGGACCCTCTTGTTTTCTGATTCATCAGGGTCAGTAACTGGTTCCTCTTTGGGAAAAGATTTGTTCCTCTTGGGAAGACTTCCAGTGCCAGCTGTCTCTTCAAGATCACTACTAACTAGCTCTTCCTTGGAAAAAGCTTTCTTTTTCTTGGGTTTGGAAAAAGAGACAGATGGGTCTTCCATTCCATTCTCCTGAACAGCCTCCTGCGGCTTTTGCTTTTTCTTCTTTTTGGGTCTTTCACTTGTCTCCTCACACTCCTCCGGGGCACTGCTATTTTCTGAAGCCAGGGCAATTGCAGCCAGCCTTTTCTTTTCCTTCTTCAAGCATTTCTTCTCCTGTTTCTCAAGCTTCCTAGTAACCTCAGCAGCCGCTTCCTCTGGCAGGCTTAACCACTGGACCACCAGGGAAGTCCCGGAGATCAGTCTCCTTAATGAAAACGCGACACAAAATGTGACATCAGTAGTTCCCATTCTCTGCCGTTGGTAAACATTACCTCTCCCTGCCGAGGGCCTGTTTCTTTGCTCTTGCCCATCTAAAAACTACAAGAAAAATTTGAATTCATCTTCCTTTAAATAAAGGAACTAAAACATACATATTCCTATGTGCAAGCATTATGATCTTGAAAAAATTATTCAATCTTACTGTAAAAGTAATTACTGAAAAGTAATTACTCAATATTTAACTTATATGCAGAGTACATCATGAGAAACACTGGGCTGGATGAAGCACAAGCTAGAATCAAGATTGCTGGGAGAAATGTCAATAACCTCAGATATGCAGATGACACCACCCTTGTGGCAGAAAGTGAAGAACTAAAGAGCCTCTTGATGAAAGCGAAAGAGGAGAGTGAAAAAGTTGGCTTAAAACTCAACATTGAGAAAACTAAGATCATGGCATCTGGTTCCATCACTTCATGGGAAATAAATGGGGAAACAGTAGAAATAGTGACAGACTTTATTTTGGGGGGCTCCAAAATCACTGTAGATGGTGACTGCAGCCATGAAATTAAAAGACGCTTACTCCTTGAAAGGAAAGTTAGGACCAACCCAGACAGCATATTAAAAAGCACAGACATTACCAACAAAGGTCCATCCAGTCAAAGCTATGGTTTTTCCATAGCTTTATGGTAGTCATGTATGGATGTGAGAGTTGGACCATAAAAAAAGCTGAGGGCCAAAGAATTGATGCTTTTGAACTCTGGTGTTGGAGAAGACTCTGGGGAGTCTCTTGGATTGCAAGGAGATCCAACCAGTCCATCCTAAAAGAAATCAGTCCTGAATATTCATCGGAACATGAATTTCATGCTGAAGCTAAAACTCCAATACTTTGTCCACCTGATGCAAAGAACTGACTCATTTGAAAAGACCCTGATGCTGGAAAAGTTTGAAGGCAGGAGGAGAAAGGGACAAGAGGATGAGATGGTTGGATGGCATCACTGACTTGATGGACATGAGTCTGAGTAAACTCCGGGAGTTGGTGATGGACAGGGAGGCCTGGAGTGCTGCTGCAGTCCATGGGGTTGCAAAGAGTCAGACACGACTGAACGACTAAACTGAACTGAATTATTCAATCTCATCTGTAAACAGGGATGATCAAAGCACCTACTGAACAGAACAGTGAGGTTTAATTAAAATATGCAAAGCTTTCAGAACAGTGCATGCAAATGCTTGAGAAATGTTAACTGTAAGTATAAATGTCAATGAAATTCAGACTATAAGCAAATACTAATGCATATAACATGTAGCCGTGGTTCTCTAACTTGTGAACTTATTAGACTTGAACCCAAGAATCCTGATGTTTTAAGGGAGCCCAGCCTGACGCTCCATGATAATCTAGAAGGGTGGGAAATGGAGAGGGGAGGGAGGCTCGGGAGGGAGGGAATATATGAATAATTATGGCTGGTTCACGTTGTTGTATGGCAGAAACCAACAAAACATTGTAAAGCAATTTTCCTCCAATTAAAAAAATTAAAATTTAAAAAAGAATCCTGATGCTTTGTCTTAACAAAACTGGGGGAAAAACAACTAGACAAATGGGGAAAATAAGTAAAGATCCTGACGCCCAGGCTGCATCCCAGATCAACCACATGAGACTCTCCAGGGGAGGGTCCCAGCACTTTTTATTCTTCCAGATGATTCCAAACATGCAGGCAAAGGTGTAAAACAATGATATAAACAACCAAGATAAAGAATAAGCAGGTATGACACAGCTAGAGAACATGTGATCTGACAGCTGAGTTGGATTTGGAAGGAAAAGTGGTACTTAACGCTAAGTTCTATAATGCTTTTCTACAAAAAACTGGTAGTCAGAGAACTCCCTGGCGGTCCAATGGTTAGGAATCTACACTTTCACTACTGAGGGCCCAGGTTTAATCCCTCCAGGGATATCTCACAAGATGTGCTGTGCAGCCAAAAAATAATAATGGTGATAATTTTTAAAAACCTGGTAGTCTGGGGCTTTCCTGGTGGCTCAGTGCTAAAGAATCCTCTTGCCAGTGCAAGCGACATGGGTTCCATCCCTGATCTGGGAAGATCCCACATGCCATGGAACAATGAACCCCTGGACCACAACCATTGAGGCTGTGCTCTGGGGGCCACACTCCGCAACAAGAGAAGCCTCAGCAATGAGCAGCCCCACCGCCTAGAGTAGCCCCCGCTCGCTCGCTGCAGCTAGAGAAAAGCCTCCACAGCAACAAGACCCAGCATGGCCGATAAGCAAACAAAATTAAAAACAAAACAGGGACTTCCCTGGTGGTCCAGTGATTGGGAATCCACCCTGCAATGAGGGAATACAGGCTCAATCTCGTCAGGGAACTAAAACCCCGCATGCCGTGGAGCAACTAACCCACCAAGACCACCACTAGGACCTGATGCAATCAAATAAATTAATCAACTAATTAACAAACAAACAAACTGGTAGCTAGAGCTTAGAGAGGTAGATAATTCGTGTAGGTCCTAAAAGCAGATCTCCTTCACTCAAGTGAAGAACAAAGAATTAATTAAAAAAATACATAGAGTGAAATAGAAATACAGGATTAAAATACATCTCTTTAGATTAAAAAAAAAAAAGATGTACAGCCTGTGACTTCTAAGAAGACCTCATATTTAAAATCAAAGACTTCGAGACAACAGTCTGTCTGGGCTGCAGGAATTGAATTACCTGGAGTACTGGCTGTGTGCTCAGGAAGCACAGAAAGATGAGGCCAAACACACAGGAATCACACATTTCCCTGAGGAAAGAACTGTTCTTTAATGTCCCATCCAATACCTTGCATAATAGGGAACAAATCCCAAGAAAAACAAAAGTCATAAGGCTAGAACTAGAAGGTGTGACTCATGGGTCAGCTCCTCCCCTTTCAGCATCATCGCCTTCACAGGTGCAGGCAGTCTGACAGGTGTGCACTGGCTTGTCACCCGGACTGCAAAAGGCAAGACAGGGCTCGTCTCAAGGAACAGACCCATGGTAAGACTTACTTTAACAAAAGGCTGGGTGTCAATGGAGAAACCCCTGTTTGGGCGCTCTTCTTTTTTCCAGCACTGGCTCACAAAATAAGTTGGGCTAAGTCCTCACCCTGGGGGCAACTGTTTGCCCTCCCAGAGCATTTTCAGATACCTGTTGAGTATCTTTCTGTCCAAAGAGTGGGATGCTGGATGCATTTTATGCTCTAGGAATAGAAGTCAGGGACTGTGGCCACTGAATCAGGGAACTGAGCCAGAGGCTTGAGGTCCCAGTGACCAGCTGCCCTGCTAACAGGCAGGCACGCTTTGGAATTAACAGGTTCTTTTTAATCCTTCTTTAAGGATGGTTTAAAGGATGCTTTTCAGCCTCCCTCCTTAGCCTGTTGGCAAATGAAGTGTTAGTATTTGGATGCTCGGTTTAAATTATCTATCTGCAGCCCATTCCACGCCGTTGGCCCACATTTTCATATGACAGCTGGAATGAAGGTCTACGGCTCCCTCAAACAAAAACATCCTTCCCCAAAGCCTGGCAACTTCTAAAAACTGCTTGCCACTCCTTGCCGCTGCAGATATTCATCTTTGGGAACCTTTGGTCAGGAACAGGCATATATACACACACCGTTTCCAAACTAGAACCGTTCAACGTGTTGAATGGTCCTACGAAATACGATAGTAAAGTTTGCCACCACTTGAAGAAAAACACTAACAATCTAAATACAGCCAAACGCGCTGGCGCGCGCGCAGACACTTTACATATCAAGAGCTCTTTAACCATAAAGACTAGTTATCCTCGACAAGAAATACGGTACAAACCAACTTGCTAGCGGACTCTGCCCCTACTTGACAGAAGTTCTGTCAGGAGCCCCGGGGTGGCGGCGACGCAGGAGCCCCAGAGGCTCGGGACCGCCCTACTCTCCCGCCGCCTGTGTCCGCGCGGTTGACCGCCGGGGGCCCGGCCCGCGCCGGCTCAGGGACCCCACTCCTGGAGAGCTCCGCCGACGCGGAGGACGCTACCACAGGTGTCCCTGGGGGGCGCGGCCCGGCCTCTCCGGGACCTCACTCACCCGGCTCGACGCCGCATCTCTGCGCTCGGCGCCGCGCTCGGGGGCGAGTTGACAGCCGCGGCCCGAGAAGGCGCGGCAGAAAGCGGTGAGGACGAGCCTCCTCGCGGGCCGCCGGGAAGCCATAGTTGCCCTCCGCTGACTCCCGCGCCGCACGGCAGAGTCGCGACGTCGCGACGTCGCGAGGCGCTACCTTACGGCATCGTCGCAAAGTCCGCGGGAGGGCACGGCGCGGCAGACCGTGCACTCGGCTGGCGTCTGACAGGCTGAGGGGTTGGACTGACGGCGCGTCAGGGCGGCGGCTCCTTGGGAGCTGCCATTCTAGGCGGCTTCTGTGCTGGGCCGCCAGCGGCGGGCTCGGCCCGGGGAGAGGTGCGGCGCGGACGCCGGAGGACGTTTTTCCCAAGGCGGGGGGCGGGTGTTCGGCCGGGCCCGGGGCGACGGCGGGAGCTGCGGAGTCGCGGGGCGTCGGCGGCGAGGCGCGCCATGGCGCGGGCGGCACAGGTAAGCGAGGGCGGTCGCGGCGCGGCCCCTCTTCCTCCGCGCGGGCGGTCTCCCGACGATCCCCATCCCCCGTGTTCCGACGCCCCGCCGCGGCCCTGCCGGAGTCTACGCCGTCCCCGCCCCGGGTCCGACGCGGCCGGGCCTGGTCCCGGAGCCGGACCCCCCCGCCCCCCAACCCCGAGCCGACCGGGCCCGAGTCCCCTCCCTCCCCGTCGGCTCCCCGGCCCGACCGAGCGCGCCCGCCCCCTCCCCCCGCGGGCCATTGTGAGGTCAGGCCGGCGGGCGCGTTGTGGGGTCCGGGCGAGACGCCCGGAGCGGCCGCCGCGGCCAGTAGCTGCCGCCGCCACCGCCGGCCCCTTCACCGGCTGCCCCGTCCAGACCTAGCCGGGAGGGCTGAGAGGCATGCAGCTTGGGGCCCGGCTCCGGTGCCGCACCCCGTAAAGGGCTGACCTACCACCTGGCCACTTCACCCGCGGGACGCCAAGACCAAGCCCGCTAAGACCGCGTCTGGGTAAAGTGCCGGGAGGGCAGGGCGAGAGGGGAGGGAAGAACCGAGGCAGCCCGCCGCTCCGGGGTCTCTCCGGAGGCGCGTTCTTGGCTCGGACACCCGCAGGGGATTAGTTTCGATTGAGCATCCATCCCCCGCCCGTGAGCGTTTGATAGAAACCCAAGAATGTGGGAGGGGGAAATGCGTTTAGCCACTCTGGAGCCTCAATGGGAGGCTGATGAATGAGTTAATCATCGTTGTCTCATTGTCTTGGGGTGTGTTTTGGAGTGGGGGGCGCATAACAGGGCCTAGGGGGTACTAGGCCTCCAAAGCCCAAGCTGGTGCCTTTATCATAATGCCAGGCGCCTTCCCTGTGGAATTTCAAGCCTCTGCAGGGAAGGTTTATGAGGTACAAAAAGGGTGGAGCGAGAAACAGGGCCTCTTTCTGGAAGTGTTTAACGGATGGAGAGGCATGTAGAAACGGGGACTTCCGCGAGTGCCTGAGAACCCCTAGTGTTTGTTTCAGTGGCTCAGTTCCTTTTACAGGAAGCTAGGCCGGGTGGGGGTGCCTAGCTGTACTCAAAACGCCCGGAAGTTTAGAAGAGCTACTGGTTTACTTTCCACAAAGGTGTCCTGCTCTTGCCAAAAAGCAGTTTCCACTGTGAAGACCTAAGGTGCTTGTGCTTTTTCCAAGCTCAACCTCATGCCATGCTATGTAGGCACACGCTGTTCTCTTTTACGACTGAGGAAAATTGAGGTTCCCAGGCCCAGCGCTCCAGCTTATCTTCCACACTGCAATAACCCAGTCTCAATCACTGCCATGTGGAGGTTGCTTGCAGGAGAGGGTTTGATAGACTCTGATTTCTGTACTGAAGTGTGGTCGTTGGGTTGCAGTGACAACAGGCCCTTTCCTAAGCATATCTTTTTAGAATAAGATAATACAGTTACCATTCTTCAGGCTTTGTGGTGTAACAAGTTATTTTTGTCATCTTCTAGTGCTTGTGAAACTGAACACAACAAAAGTATGGAGATGGGAAACCAACACCCTTCTATTAGTAGGCTTCAGGAAATTCAAAAGGAGGTAAAAAGCATAGAACAGCAAGTACTTGGTTTCAGTGGTCTGTCAGATGACAAGAATTACAAGAAACTGGAGAGGATTCTCACAAAACAGCTTTTTGAAATAGACTCTGTAGATACTGAAGGGAAAGGAGATATTCAGCAAGCCAGGAAGAGGGCGGCACAAGAGACAGAGCGTCTTCTCAAAGAGTTGGAGCAGAATGCGAACCACCCACACCGGCTCGAAATACAGAACATTTTTCAAGAAGCGCAGGCCCTGGTGAAAGAGAAGGTTGTGCCGTTTTATAGTGGAGGCAACTGTGTAACTGATGAGTTTGAAGAAGGCATCCAGGATGTCATTTTGAGGCTGACACACGTCAAGACCGGAGGCAAGGTCTCCCTGCGGAAAGCACGGTATCACACCTTAACCAAAATCTGTGCTGTGCAGGAGATTATCGAGAACTGCATGAAGAAGCAGCCTTCCCTGCCGCTCTCTGAAGACGCACACCCCTCTGTTGCCAAGATCAACTCTGTGATGTGTGAAGTGAACAAGACCAGAGGCACACTGATTGCCCTTCTGATGGGCGTGAACAACAAGGAGACGTGCAGGCACTTGTCCTGTGTGCTCTCGGGGCTGATGGCAGACCTGGATGCTCTCGATGTGTGCGGCCGCACGGAAATCAGAAACTATCGGAAGGAGGTCGTGGAAGACATCAACCAGTTACTGAGATACTTGGACTTAGAAGAGGAAGCAGACACCACGTATGCATTTGACCTAGGACAGAACCATTCCATTCTGAAAATAGAAAAGGTCCTCAAGAGAATGAGAGAAATCAAAACTGAACTTCTCCAAGCACAGAATCCTCCTGAATTGTACCTGAGCGCCAAAACAGAACTACAGGGTCTGATCGGACAGTTGGACGAGGTGAGTCTTGAAAAAAACCCCTGCATCCGGGAAGCCCGGAGAAGAGCAGTGATTGAAGTGCAGACCCTTATCACCTACATTGATTTGAAGGAAGCCCTGGAGAAAAGAAAGCTGTTGGCTTGTGAGGAGCACCCGTCACACAAGGCGGTCTGGGACGTGCTGGGGAACCTATCGGAGATCCAGGGCGAAGTGCTCTCCTTCGACGGCAATCGAACCGACAAGAACTACATCCGCCTGGAAGAGCTGCTCACCAAGCAGCTGCTCGCCCTGGACGCGGTAGACCCACAGGGCGAGGAGAAATGTAAGGCCGCCCGGAAACAGGCCGTGAAGCTGGCGCAGAACATTCTCAGCTATCTGGACCTGAAGTCCGACGAGTGGGAGTACTGAACAGCCAGAGAGCCTGTGGCTCCTGATTCTTGTTTTGCACTTTATGCACACATCTGTGTATCTAGAGAGAGCTTTCAGTTCGTTGAGCCTAAATGTGATTTATACATGCATATATCAATCTCAGTATTTAATGATTTACACAAATTATATTCAGTATCTGCTGCTTTTGATGTTGCAAAACAAATATTACAGCATATTAACTTTTGCATTTGGATCACTATCCTTATGTTGTGTGGTTTTTTGGGTTTTTTGAAAAATCAGAAAATGAAATGGGGCAGCTTTTAAACCTTTTTTTTTTTTTAGCTTTTAAAACATTTTTAATGGTTGTTCAAGCATTAAAATAGAGCTATTTCAGAATCTAGAAATAAGTGATAAATACTAAGACAATTAGGAGGAAGGGGGGAATTTTTGGTTAAATAGAAGTAAGGTCCAAGCACAAATGCAGTACAATGATATATTTTGTTATTATGCTAAATAAAGCAGAAAGATCTTTTTCATTCATAAAACCGAGTGGTCCCACCCAATTTAATAGGGTGGGAGTTTGTTTTTTCTAGATGGTTCTTTGATAAACATGCTTTGGTTTGAAATACAGTGTATGTTCCCCTGTACCCTGCCTTTGGGAGGGAGTCCTATTTTTGTGAGCAATATAAGAAAATTATGAAAATTAGTAGCAAAAACACCTTTGAGACTGCAGCGAAGGAGGGATGAAACACCAGCTGATACTTTCAAGTTGTTTTTGTTGATAAGACCTAAACTTATAATTTCTCTTAGAAATCAGTAAGGATAAGAACATTTAAATGAAGCTAATGAACTTTAAAAAAAAAAAAGATAAAACACCCACACCCATAGTAGGATAATGAAAAGTGGAAATCAGTTACCAGTTATCAGGTTATGCTAAAATAAGCAAAAAAGTCTGCACGTATCATAATGGGCTTCCTCGAAACAGACCACCTTGCTCGCTGCACATTCCTGATGGATGTGAGAGCAGAGGCGCCAGTAGCCGCGAGGGACTAGGTCTCCCAGCTTGTCGCTTCCTGGCCCCTGCTGTGCTCCTCAGCCCGTGTTCCTGGCACGTGGATGTTCTCTAGTGCCTCAAAGGGCCAATAAGGTCTGTCACTGTGTGAAGTTTTTCTTCTTCTGCCAAAGGGTATACATATTTCTGTATATTTTGAGGAACCAGTTTTACAGTTGCCTATTGATGTAAACAGAAGAATTTCCCAAAGTTCTGAAGTGCCTTGATAACATTCTGCCCCGGTATCATACAACAAACTGCTCTGTAGTCACCCTCACAAAATAATCGTATCAGAGTACATCTTTTGAACTCTGAAGTAATTCATTGTTTTCTTTCAGATATTAATTTGTTAACTTTGTAAACAGCTAAAAAATAAGGTGAATAAAGGAATAGCCCTAAATACCTAAAAGAGTAAATGTGTAGCCCTAAGGAATTTTCACTTTGCCTCAGTACTGCCCAGTAATGAAAAGCCCTTGACCTGTCCTTCCTACTAGAAGTATCCTAGATTCATAGGATAGTGGGGTCGAAGGGCAATCGGAGGTCTTTGGGTGATGAGCCTCCTGTCTGCACCTCCAGTGGGCTCTCATGCCCCTTACTGGCAGCTCATTCCAACCAAATGAAATCTTGAAGTGTTGTTAAATTCAAGCACAGTTTGAGTTATATCAGTGGGCGATCAAGGCGATAACCTCACTTCAGACGTACCCACATCCTGCACCAGGCCTCCTGCTTCACGTTAACTTCAGGTTTGAAAGTTCATTGTCAGCACGTCCTCTGAGTGTCCACCGTTATCTGAAAGCCCATCTTCCCCTCCTGTTCATCTCCAGCAGTTTCCCGTGACCCGCAGAGACGGTTCCGACGGCTCAGCTTTGAGCGTCAGGGTGAGTACAGGATACCGGGCTGTCCAGTCGTCTCGGATTTCTCACGTGGATTATTTTGGTCCCTGAGATAATCAGATCAGCCTTGAATGACTGCTGAGGAGTGACGTTTCCTGACTCCAGTCTGCTCTAGCTCCTTGTACCTGATGACCCTCTTCCCTTGATGAGCCCTCGAGACACTGGGTTTAGCTTTCCTTGTCCCTTGTGGGGAGGCATCATGTGACCATGGGCTGCTGCATGTAATTTTTAAGTTGGGCTCACTGCATTGTATTGTATTTTTATGATCTTACATGAAGAGAATCTGTACTAGAAGTAAAAGCTACCTACCCCCTCAAAGTGTTTGGCCTTGGGTCTGCATTAAACTGTATCATACGTGTTCATGCAAAAAAAAGTGGCTGGCAATGTTTGCTTTCTTTACCTTCCCCTCAGCATTGCTTTCAGGTCATTCTTTCTCCAAGTGGACTGATCAGCCTATAATGAAGTAGTTACGAGAATAAATGTAATGAATGTGTCTACTAAGTATAATTTAATGCTCTATTTTGCTGAACTGCCTTGGTATAGTATATTGATATTTGACATGATTTAGTATATTTGAAAGGTTTAACCAGTATTTTTGTCATTTGTTTTACTTGGCGTGTTTTTAATGTTTTATTGAGGCTCTAAGCTTATCTTGTACATACAGGTTTTTTTAAACAAAGCTCTTTAGCTTTTAACTCATAGTGTTTTTGAGGATGATTGGAGAAATATTTGCCATTAATGTCAATGTGTAATAAAGGTGTGTCATTCCAGTGTGTTGGTTCCCATCCCCCTCCATCAACTGTGTGACTATTGTAATACCATGTCTTAAATAATTCAGTATTATTTTGAGATATACATACTAGTATACCCTTAATTATTGATGAAATAAACAAAAAATCTCTTAGCTTATCTTTGCAGTGGAGAAAGGCTGTGAGTCTGAGGTGTGAGTTCTGTTTTCATGTTCTCATCTTCGGGTCCTGTCTGACTTGGATGTGCCTTGGGCCGCCTGGGGCCTGGGGGTGCCTTCACTCTAGTTGGGGGCAGTGATGTAGGGAGGCGGCTGCAGTGAGCACAGACCAGAGTTGGGGGGATGGGTAAAGGGGTAACTGTTCCTGTTCAAACAACCCAGGAAGTGTGAGGGCCAGAGAACCGGAGCAGGCGTGGCCTCAGCCCAGCTTTCCTGGGGAGCGTGTCCCCCGGCCGTCGCACACATGAGTTGCCCCAACATGTAAGAGGGAAAGCTCTGGAAGTGTTCTGGAAAGAACCTGTCCCCAGAGAAAAGGTCTGAGTTAATGTGCTCTGGAAACTCATTAATGGAGACCTACTTCTGACCATTAAAGTCTCGTGCTCCACCAACCCAGCCAGCTGGGCGGCGGTACTTCTGACTGGTGAGTCCTTCCGGCGTTTCCGAAACGCTCGGAAGGTCGCCCTCGTCCGCCTCCCGGCTCTGCCTCCCCGCTCTGTCGCCCTCGCTTGCTTCGCAGCGGCAGCAGCTGGCTTTGCCTCTCCCAGCCTCTTCCTGTCTTCTCCGGGTTCCTCCCAGTGATTCAGGTGGAGAAGCCTTGCGGCCAGCCCTGCCCCGCGGCCATGTGACCTGTGCGGGGGCCGGGGCCGCGACAAACATGTCAGTTGTACAGGTGCAGAAGAGAGACACTCGGGGGAGGCCTGACAGCTTCAGCCCCTGCCACCGCCAGGCTGTGCGCGGCCCATCAGGCTGGGGTCACCGACGCGTGAGAAACCGTCATCAAGGCCTTGCCGCGCTCGGCCCCGTGGGCTTCCCGATGGCTCAGCGGGTCAAGACGCCACCTGCAGTGCCAGAGACGGGGGAGACGGGCTCGATCCCTGGGTCAGGGAGAACCCTGAAGGAGGACATGGAAACCCACTGCACTATGCCTGCCTGAAAAATCCCGTGGACAGGGGAGCCTGCGGGCCACAGTCCGTGGGGTGGCCAAGGGCGAAGGGTCGGACACGGTGGAGGACAGCACAGTGCGCCTCAACCAGACGCGGCGGTGAGCCAGCCGTCCCGCTGCTGTCTCGGGCAGAAACACCTGGATGTTGGAACTGGGCAGGTGTGCTGGAGAGAGAACGTGGGCGCCAGAGACCAGGGAGGCTGATGTTTGGGGCTCAGGGACCCCTGAGGCTGGTCAGGAGCGAGACAGCAGAGACCCCAGAGCAGGCTGGGCGGCGATGTTGCCCAGGGGCTGAGGGGCCCGGCGTGGCCCAGAGGGGCTCTGGCTTCTGGGTGCAGAGGCGCCAACTGTGGGCTTGCGGGGGGGCAGGTGCAGGTGGGCACCCGGCCGTCCGCGTGTTATCACTGCATCACCTCATCCTTCAAGCTATCGCTGGATGAACCATTCCATCTGCCGGGCCCTGTGAGAGAGAGCTTACATGCGTGTTAGACTCTGGGAGCCCTTCTGAAGCAGGCTTTGGTACTAAATGTATTTCACTTGCCCAAGACCTCACGGTGAACCAGGAGGGCAGCCCGCGGCCCAGGCAAGCTCAGGGTCTACCCGGAGGGGCCCACCCCAGGCTCCGATTTCATCCACAAGGGCCAGCTGGACAGGAAGGGGCTGGGGGCACGGAGGGTCAGGACCCGGCAACTCATGGTTGGCAGGTCCCCCGGGGAGCCACAGGCCTTCTGAGGCCTTGGGTCCCATGACTCCCCGCTTGAGAAACACTGAATGCCACACCTTGTCTTCACTCCTGGGTCACAGCAGAAGGCTGCTTTTGTATAATAATCCTTTAAACTCCTGTGCCCTTATCCCTGTAGCCCCCGACTTCCCGGTCCTCATGCCCACGTGACTGTTCCACCTGGTCCTCCAGGGGACTCAGGACGCGGAGGGAAGGGTGGCAGGGCGGGCCACCTGTGGGCTCTGCGGCCTCCTGCCCATCCAGTGGGCATGGCCAGGTACCCGCTCCCCCCCAGGGCCCACTGCCCGTCACTCCCTGGCCAGGCAGTGCCCTCCCCGGCAGAGCCATCTCTCTGTCCTTGCCGCCTCAGGCCCTGGCAGCGGGAGGCACTCGGGTCTCCTTTGGACGCGCTCCTCTTTAGAAAGTGTCCTCGGCTCCTGGCACATAATACACAGCCCCCGAAACACTGGCTGAAAAAGTGAATGGAAAGTCTCAGATGGTTGCATCGCTTCATGAAGTGTCTGAAATCGGGAATTCCCTGGCGTCCCAGTGGTTAGGATTTGGCACTTTCACTACCAAAGGCCCCGGTTCAAGCCCTAGGCAGAGAACTAGGGTCCTGCAAGACGCACGGTGCGGCCGAAAACCAAATCAAATCAGCGACCCTTTGTAGCTCATCAGGATTCCAAGCCCCTTGGTCTCCTGCACCTGCAGCTGAAACCCTGGTATCACCAGCAGGAAACTGCCTCATGCCCAGCTTGCCAGCAACGCTGGCGTGGAGGGAAGGCCGGCCAGGTTGGCGTGTAACAGTCTTGCCTCTGAGCAACGCTGAACTGAACTGAGCTTGGCTGAGCGCCCAGCTGGGTGACACGCCAAAGGGGCACGGCAGCCCCCACGTGTGGGGCCCCCGGGTTGGGCCTGTGGTTTCCTCCGTCACCTCATCTTGCTGGCCAGGCTGGAAATGAGGGTGCTTATGCCCTGGGCCCCTGTGCTGGAGGCCCGCCCTTCACACTGAGACTCCCAGAGTGGGGGGCCTCGAGGGAGCATTGGTGCAGGGAGGGGCCCCGAGTCTGGAGCCAGGCACAATGGGGGGCCTGGGAGAACCCCGGCAGGGAGCAGGGGGCTGGGCGGGGGTGGGGCTGGTGAGCCAGGGGAGGATTCGGGTCTTTGAAGACTAGGAGCTTTGTTGAATGCTTGCCCCAGTGGCAGAGAAGAGGCTAAACTGGGAGCAATGGGCCAGGGCAGGGGGGGCTAGAGAAGCAGGCAGAGTGAGGGACCCAGGGGAGGACTTACAGGGGTGGTGAAGGTGGCACCAGGGACTGGGGGCTCCTGCGGTTCTGGACTACCGGAAGGAGGGTCTCCTCAAGGGGACAGGGTCACATAAGCAGTGCAGAGACCCCTGGGTCGAGCTGAGTAACCAAATTGGGCTGGTAATTAAAGGTGCAAAGAGGGAACTGCCTGGTGGTCCTGTGGTTCGAACTCCGTGCAGTCACTGCTGAGAGCCTGCCTTGGATCCCTCATCCAGGAACTAAGATTCCCCCAAGGTGCATGGTGTGGCCAAAAAAAAAAAAAAATCAAAGAATCTAACAGGCACATAAGCCAGCCCTGTCCTGGGGTAGCGAGGACCCGGTCTTTGGCTCCTAAGCCTAAGGTCTTGTCGGTGCTGTCTGCAGCCTCCTCACGCACAGGCCGTGCTCAGAGGTCTTACCTTCTCTGGGAGGCCCAGGTTCCATCTTTCCAGAAATAGGCATCTGGCCCTCACCCCCGACCTCAGGTGTCCTAGGGGTGGTGTAGGAAGTGGGCCAGCGCGGTGGGTCTGGGGAAGAGCATGCAGGCTGACCAACGGCTAGTGCCCGGGCCCAGGGGTGCAGCGGGGGAGCCCGCAGACTGGACCCTTGGGGCCTCGCTGGCTTGGGGAGCTAAGGGCACCTGGAGGGGCCCGACTCCATCCTAGACCAGAGTCCCGCCCAACCCCAGAACAGAAAGCCACGTTCAGGCGCCTCTGGGACCCGGTGCTACTGGGGTGGGAGACATGCCAGGCCCAGCCTGCAGCAGCTCCACCAAGCCTGGCCCGGGGACTTTTGCCCTGGATGGCCGTTTAGGGGCTAGAGTGTGCTTGGGCCAGTGTGGGCCAGCTGTCTGCCCTGGGTGTTGGGGCTGGGGGTCCCCCCAGATGAACCCCTGGACGCCTGTGTGAGCCCCACTGCGCGGCGCCTGCCGGGGCGAGTGGGAAGGGATGACCTAGAACGACCCGCCCCACAAAGCCGGGCCCGCACCTCGGGGCACCTGCTCCCGCGCGGCCCGGGCCCTTGGAGCGCGGCCTCCGGAGCCCGGCGCGCCCCCGCTCCGCGCCCCGACCGCTTGCTGTTCTCTGTGCGGCCGCCACGCGGCGCCCGCGGCCCGGAATCGCGAAGCCCTGGACCCGCCCGGGCCGGGTCGGGGGAGCAGCCGGCCGCGCAGCTGTCGGGCCGGGGCCCCGCCGGGCACACCTGCCCTCGAGATGCTGGACAGGTGGCCGCGGCGCCGCTTGGCTGCGGCTTCTGCCCGCAAGCTGGCCGTGCTGCTCCTGCGGATTCCATAACCTGTCTCACGGCGACCTTGGGCTCTGACGATCCTTGCGGGGGCCAGAGCCTCTCGCAGGTTCTGACCCGCCCCTCGAGCTGAGCTGAGGGCTGGGCGGGACCATCCCCGGCTGGGGTCAGGCCCCCCCCACCCGCCCCCGACCCATGGCTCACGTGGCACCATGCCGTCAGGGTGGAGCCGGGAGGCCTGGCAGGCAGGGCAGCCTCACCCCCTGCCTGCATCCATCTCCAGGCAGGCTGGTCCTCCCTCCTGGGCAGTTGAGGGCAACCTTCACACTCAAGCCAAACGCCACTTCATGCAAGTGCCACCCCTTGCCCCCTAGCCTGTGTGCTGGCCCTCAGGGCTCCCAGATGCTCTGGCCCTAGACAGACACCCTCCCACCCCAAGCTGGGTGATCCCAGGCTGTTCTCTGTATTTTGAGGTCCAGGGCAGGAGGGCCCAGGAGCTGGAAGACCAGTGGCAGGTGGGAGAGTGCAGACTGGGGGCCTGGGCCCTTGTGGCTGGAGAGGCTGCTGTGGGCACTGGGGAGGAGAGGCTGGGTTTCACCGTGCCCGGGTGTCCCCCCGTGTTCCTGGCGCCCAGGGAGGCTTGTCCTGCTCCGGGCCCCCACTCCCCGCTGCAGACCTCCCGGGCTGTGTCCGCAGCAGCCGTAGCAGCTCAGGCGACTGTGCATCTTGTCCCCTGGGAGGCAGGCTTTTGGCCCCGTGCTGCCCGTGGCAGCCGGGCACGGCAGGTGTAGGGACAGAGGTACTGGCTCCAGCCGCCTCGCCCACCCCGCCCCCAGGGTCTGGTGGTGGCCCAGGGCGCAGGGGTCCCTTAACTTCTGGCCCCGCCTGGCCTCAGGGTGGCACTGACCTGTGCCCAAAGCAGGTCTCGGTGACATTGCCACCTCAGCACCAGGAGCAAAGCCCTCTCCGCTGCCCCTGTGCTGACGGCTGCTCCCACCTTGCCCTTCCCCCTGAGGACCTGGCATGCTCGCTCCCACCTCTAGCCCACCGCCCGCCCCTCCACGAAGCTCCCTCCCTCTGCTACCACTCCACCAGGCTCCTGCCCAAGGAAGCGTGGGGTGGGGGCCCTAGGACCCGCTCTGCCTGCCCTAGGCCCGGCCTGCCCTTCCAGCACACCACCCCAGACCCCTCTCGCAGCTCCTCCACAGAAGCCGCGCTGTTGAAGCCCCGCGGGGCCCAGGTGACCCCAACTGAACCGCGCCGGGAGAGGGGGTCTTGAGTGACCCAGAGAGGCTGCGTGAACTGGGGAGGCCATGGGGGGGCTCAGAGTTAAGGCCCCCACGAACAAGCCTCAGCCTCCTGGACCCTCAGGCCTTTACACGGAAGCCTGCCATTGCCAAGAGCTCAGGCCTTTCCTTGGGCCCTCGGGGTTCTAAGGGGCGCAGAGGTCACCCTGAGGATGGAGGTGCTCCCGGGGGCGGGGAGCACCGCAGGAGGCAGCTCGAAGGACGCAGCCCCTGTGGGGGAGGAGCCAGCACGCTCACAGATGGGGGGGCGCGGGGACCCCAGGCCAGGCCTGTTGTTGGACACGGGCAGGGGCTCTGTGAGCCTGGCTGTGACCCTGAAAGGGGGCCTGGGAGTCCGCCAGCCCCTCCTGCCCAGCCCTGCCCCGGGGGACCCAGCCCTCCCCGCCCCTCCTTGCTGGGGTCCCGGCCGGCAGGCCTTTGGGGACCCGGGGTCAGCTCTCTCACCGAGGCTTTGACGTCAGCTAATGTCAGGCTGGGCAGCCCAGGGCTGCAGGGCCTCTGCGAGCTCCCCGAGGCCCCAGACAGGGCCCAGGGCCTCCCCCAGTCACTGTCTGTGAAGCAGGCAGTGAGGGCCACTTCACCTCGGGGTTGAGGCCTGGGGCGGGCGCGGCAGAAGCCCGAGGTGTGAGGGCCCTGTGGGACCCGGGGCCCAGGTGGACCGCTGGGGCCCTGCTAGGTCTGCCCTTCAGGCCTGAAGGGCCCCTCCCCACCCCGTCTCAGCAGGGCCGCCGGCCTTGACACAGCCCCTTGCCAAGGCCTGCACTGCAGCCTGCCTCCCCTCACTCCTGCTGGGTCAGGCGGAGCGCCTCGTGTGGCTGCACGCGTGCTGTGAGTGGGTACACAGGTGTGGTGCTGTGTGTGCATGCATGTGTGTGCTCTGTGCACTGTGCGCATGTGTGCTGTATGCACGCATGTGAGCGCCATATCTGCATGTGTGTGCTTATGTTCCATGTGTGCATGCATGTGGGTGCTGTGTGCACATGCATGGGTGTGCTTGGCGTGTGCATGTGAGTGCTGTGTGCATGCATGCATGTGGTTTGTGTATTCGCGTGTGGTGTGAGCGTGCCTGTGTGTGCATGCATATACATGTTGTGTGTGACACAGACAGCCGACCACAGAACCCCCAGAGGCCTGCGGGCGTTCGAGGGGCCTGGGGTAGAGGAGGGCTTGGAGACTGAGAGCAGCCCCTGACCGGGGCCGGGCCGGGGAGGGACGCCTGGCGGCCAGCTCGAGGTGTCCTGGGAACAGGGCCCAGGAGGAAGCCTGCACAGTGGCAACGGCGGCGCCATAGCAACGCGGCAGCGAGCGCTGGCCTACTTACACCCAGCCCCCCGCCTGCTAGCGCTCGGGCCAGGGAGGGGTGCGGGGCTCCTGGGATGCGCCCCGGCCTTTGGGGGCTCAGTGACCTGGAAGCCCCGCACTTGCTCGTCCACAGGTGGGGTGATGGGACAGAACTGTCCTGCACCCCCTAAGGCTCCTCCCGTCTCCCGGGGGCTGGGCCCCAGTGGTTGCACAAGGGCTTTGGAAGTTTCCAGCCCAGAAATTTCTGAGCTCTCTGTGCTGCTGGAGTGACCGCAAGCCCCGAAGATCTCTGACCCAAACCAAACAACTGGGGCCAAGGCCCCCAAGTCAGGACAGTGTCTGGGTGGGAGGGGCGGCCAGGAACACTGGGGACGGAGTCCTGAGCTGGTGCCTCTGCCTGCTCAGACCTCCTCCTGGCTTCTGGCCTCAGCGTGGACAGGACGCAGGGCCAGGTTCTGCGCACAGCAGGTGGGCAGGTGCAGAGGGCTGTCACCATTTGAAGGAGAGCCCCAGGGCCGGACATCAGCCCTACTGACAGTACCAGGCTCCTGGGCTTGCCTCCCCGACCAGCCTGACATTCAGGGCCATTCCCCTGGTTGCCTCCGCCTGCAGGAAGGCCACCTGGAGCACTCAAGAGCCTTGGGGCCACGGACAAGCGTCTCCACTGCCCAGGGAGACTCAGCAAGCCCCAGAGGAGATCTGGGGCGTCCATGGGCCATGTCTCTGACGTCCACAGGGCCTGTACCACTGGCCTTCTTGGGCTAACCCACCCAGCAGGGCCTCACGTAGGGGTCATCTCTGGTGCATGGGAGGTGCCCTGAAGAGGGAAGGAGCTCTGGAGCGCGGGGCCCTGGGGACAGGAAGCCCTTGGCCCCACAGAAGGTGGCTGTCACACGATACCCACCAGGTGTGTTTTCTCATTGAAAACCAGGTGTTCTCCGGCCCTCCCCTGCAGAGTGCCTGCTCTGTGGCCTCAGGCCTGGGCCCTTGCTGGGCAGGCCTCAGCTTCCCCACCGGCACAGACGTGTGGCTCTGGGTGTCCAAGTGCCTGCTTCGGGGCAGCAGCTCCCTGCCCAGGTCCGGAGCCAGGGGCCACTGTGACCCGCTGTCCCAAGTCCCCGCCCCACCCGTCCACTCACGCCTTCATCCACCAGATGCCCTCCTGCGTCCCAGGGCCAGTGCCCAGTTTTGGAATGAATGAAGGAGCGGAGGGGAATGAATGAGGCCCCGGGGGGCAGCTCACGCTCCCATGTGCGTGGAGGGGGACCTGTCTGCACACGAGGGCATGTGTGTCCTAGTTCAGGCGCCAGCTGCAGCCGCCCTCCCCTCCCCCCGCCCCCCCCAATTTATGCCATGAGGCCCCCCACGGGGCGGCAGCTTTGTCCCCAGGCAGATTCCCAACAGCCGCTGCCTTTGGGAAGAAAGGGCCCTTCTCTGGCCCGCGGTGAGGTCACCAGGCGGGGCCCATGCTCACAAAGGCTGCCGCCCCCAGCCCGCCCCGCTGGCAGCTGCCTCTTTGTGCGCAGCTCTCGCCGGAGGAGAGACCCCGAGGGGCCCCTGCTCAGCCTTGGAGGCCCGGGATGGTCTCTGGGAAGTGCGGGGTAGGGGGCTGGGGAGGGGGCAGGAGCAGCCTCTCCCTCTCCCGCCCCCCCACACCCGCCTTGCTCCTGATCAGTGACAGCACTTGTTGAGGTGCAGACCCATCCGGAAGCCTTGCTGGGGCCGGCAGCTGGGGGGGAGTCTCGGCCTGGCGGGGGTGGGGGGTCCAGCTGTCTGTCTGGGTCCCCCAGGACCAGCAGGCGGGGGCCGGGGCTCTGAATCCATTATCTCCCCGGATCCTATGACGCCTGGCATGTGCACCTGTGCACTCATCTCTGTGTGTGTGTGCATGTGTGTGCGTGTGTGCACATATGTGAGCTGGGGTGAAGGGCTTGCAGGCCTTTGCCCAAAACCACCCAGCTGCCAGGGGCGGTGGGACTAGAGGAACTCCCACGCTCCTGCCAACCGTCCACAGTGAGGGCGGGGACCCTGCCCCAGATGGCAATGGGCACCTCCTCGGGCAGAGACTGGGGGGGCCGGCCGGGGGGGGTGCCAGCAGAGACAGGGCAGCAGAAAAGAGGGACAAAAGCCGAGAAGGAGGGGACAACGCCGGTCCTGTGGATGCGGAGCTGGTGACTTTGGGCCCACAAGGGCCACCCAGTTCAGGCAGAGCCCGGGCAACACTGAGCCGGAGGAGGCAGGCTGGGCGGGGTCCTGGACACCCATCTCTGGGGGCTGCGGGGGGCCCGGGGGTCTCAGCTGCTCAGGTGGAGGCAGATCTGTGAGGGTGAGGGCCAGGGCGGGCCAGGAGTTCAGGGACCGTCGGCGGGGCGGGGGCTGCCAGCCCCTTCCCCCAGGCACCAGCTGGTGGCCGGCCAGCCAAGAGCTCCTTAGCAGTCTCTCCACGGAGGGAGGAAGTGGAGCCGGAAGGGAGCCAACACGGCCCCTTGTCTTGTCCCTGACAAAAGCTGCCATGCTGGACTCCGGGGCCGGCTGCTGGGGGTCTGGGGCCCTGCCAGGCGTGGCTGCTGGCAGAGTCGGCCCTGGCCAGGTGGGGTGCGAAGCCTCTGGGCTGGGGATGGGTGGGGCAGAGGACTGGGTCCTACTGAGCCTCTAAGCTCTGCTTATAACTCGGTGAGAGGCCTGTGCTTGAACCTGGAAGGACAGTCCAGGAAGCCTGGCTCGTGGAGGCAGAGTCCTGGTGGAGGCGGCCAGCCGGGATGGGAGATGGGCCCCATCTCCTCTCGCCCAGGAAGGTGTCCGGCCAGTCCGTCACCCGGGACCCGGAATGTCCATTGTGCCCGTAGCTTAGCAACAGGCCTCTGTGGGCCCTGCACTCCCGCCCCACGGCCGGCCACCCGCATTCCTGGGCCGGCCCTTTGGGTGCCTGTAGATGCCTCATCCCCTGGTTCATGCCCTCCCCCTGCCCCCCCCTCCACAGATTCACCTTCTCAGCAAATGCAGTGACAGGGCCAGAAGGCAGCCAAGTGGCCTCGATGGCAGACAGGCTAGGGAGGGGCAGGGGGCCCCGGGGGTGCGTCTGTGTGTCCAGGACTCCCTGAGCTGCATGCAGATCTCACTGCAAGAGGCTGGAGGCCTCAGCTACTTTCTGGGGGCTGTGGATGAGGTCAGGCCTTGGTGGCAGCTGGGGGCCAGGGGGACAGGGGGCCAGGGTGGTGGGAACGTCTGGAAGGAGGAATAGGGCAGGTGTCTGGAGTCAGATGGGCCAGGAGAGGGGCCGCCTCGGAGCTTGGAGGCGGGCAGTGAGGGGTCCCTGCAGCCCTGCCCGTCCCGCCCTCTGAAGCAGGGGGCAGCTCCTGAGGTCCACCCTCCCCCTCGGCAAGTGGGCTTCCGGGTCAGCGGCCACTGGACCCACGCTGGGAGGAGCAGAGGGCGTGGCTCACTGTGTGCCCAGCTGGGACCAGCCCCCTGCATGTCTCTCGTGGCAAACAGTGCATGACCTGTGGCTCCCTGCCCCAGCGCTGGCGAAGCCCAGGATACGCCACCATCCTTGACTTAGGAGGAGTCTGGTGACCCTGGGCATTGACCTGGCTGGCCTCTTAATGGTTGTCTAGAGCATTGCTTCTTAAAAAAAAAAAAGCCAAAAACAAACGTTTTACTATGGAAAATGTCAAAGAAATGCAGAAGCAGAGAGAATCCCAGAGGCTGCCAGGTCTCGGGGGACTAGTATTTCAGCTTTCCCCTCCCCCCAGGTTATTTTGAGGCAGACTGCAGCCACCCTATCATTTCACAGTATCATTAGCACGCCTAAAAGTCATTCCCAAAACCTCAAGACATCCACTCAGGCTTCCAATGTTCCAACTGTCTTATTTTGTAAAATAAAACATTTGGTTTGTTCAAATCAGAACCAAAAGAGGTCCCTGCTGCTCTCGCTCCAGGATCTCGGGGGCCTAGTGTGATGAAGCCGCTGGGAGACACGGGGATCCCAGAGGGGCCTGGGGCCTGCGCACAAACATTCCAACCAAAGGAGGCAAAATTAACCTCTTGCTGACTACAGCACGGCCTCGGAAAGAGCCAGGTGGATGGTGCTGGAAGCTCCCCGAGTTGTGACCACGTCGTTTAAGCCCATCAAGTTTTGATGAACATCAAGGTTTTGTTTAAGAAAGAAGAGAGCAGTGAGAGGTCCCAGTTCCTCTGGTGGGGGTTACTGGGCCCTCCACCCCCCCACCCCCGAGCTCCAGGTGCACGTGGTCAGGTGGGGCCTGGGAATCTGCACTTCCCCGAGTTCCCAGGTGACTCCCAGCTGGTCCAGGCCCCACCCCGCTCCGTAGCAGCTCCCACGTCTCCTGAACACACCTGCAGCCTGCGTTCAGGAAAGGTTCTGTCACCTGAAACATGATGACTGCCTGGTGCCTTTGTAACGATTAAAGAACCAAAAACAGCAGCGGGCATGCCCACGGCAGAAAGATATGGATATAGTTGTAGCGTTAGTCGCTCAGTCGTGCCTGACTCTCTGTGACCCGATGGACGGCCAGGCTTCTCCGTCCCTGGGATTTCCCAGGCAAGAATACTGGAGTGGGTTGCCGTATCCTCCTCCAGGGGATCTTATCTCTCTCTCTCTCTGTCTCAGTCAGGGGTACTTGGGGCTTCCCCGATGGCTCCGTGGTAAAAGAATCTGCCTGCAATGCAGGAGATGCAGGAGACACAGGTTTGATTCCTGGGTTGGGAAGATGGCCTGGAGGAGGGAATGGCAACGCCCTCCAGTAGTCTGGCCTGGGAAATCCCACAGACGGAAGAGCCTGTGGCTACAGTACATGGGGTCACAGAGTCGGACAGGACTGGAGCAACTGAGTTTGGGCCACAGGGACTTACTGAATTGCTACGAGGATGGGTTTGGCATTCTAATGTGCCACTTGGGGGCAGCGTACCCAGGGGCCAACAGGAACACGGGCTCGGAGGACCTGCGACATCACCCTCCTCAGTCCTCTCAAGGCTACTCTGGGAGGAAGAGAGGAAGACATCAGGAGAAGCTGGGTGGGAAATAAGATGAAAGAGGGTGAAGTTCTCTCCACAGCTGCCAGATGGACCGCAGACTTGGCCCTGAGCTTCCTAGTGGCCCGAATCAGAGGGAACAAGATTACCTAAGCTAGTGCTTCTCAAGTCGGAACCACCTGGGGCATCTGTCCAAAACACACCTTGAGATTCTTACCAAGGCTTGGAATTGAGGCCAGCTTGGTATTCTTACCGAGTCCTGTGCCCACCTCCACCCCCACCAGACACGCAGGGGCTGCTGCCCACAGACCGCATCCCGAGGACAACTCGGTGTCCCTGGGGGGAAGAGCGTGGGGGAGCAGGATTCAGAGCCCTGTGCAGGGCCGCAGGCAAGGCCGCAAGCACCCAGCAGCAGCCCCAGGACCTCCGCCTCTCCAGCAGGGTCACGTCTGGACGCTTCAGCGGTCGGCAGGGCGGGCGGCCAGCAGAGACAGGACTAAAGCCCCCCCGGGGATGGGGAGGGCAGTGGGGCAGGATTCGACCGAGACAGAAGCAGGGGGGCGGGCGGAGCTTGGGATCCTGCCAAAGGCGAGGCCACGCTGTGTGCAGACAGTGGGACGGCCCACACCTGGCTGTGCAGGGGCGGCCCCGCCCAGGGAGGGGCCGGGGGCGGGGCCTGAGGCCCGCTTGTGCCAGGCGCGGGGGCGGGCGCACCCACGGCTTGCTGGGAATGTGGGGGCACCGGGGCCACGTCCAGGCCTCAGGGCCTGGAGGGACCTAAGCCTCCTGCGGCCTCAGAGGGGTGGGGCCGCCCGCTGCCCACGGACACCTTCAGCCTGCAAGGAGCCGGGGCGGGGGTGCAGGGGGCTGTGAGGGGCATCGTGGAGCCTTCTCTCAGCGCGGGGCCCTGGGGAGTGGCATGCCCCTGGAGTTGCCGGGTCCTGAGGAGTGGGGGAGCAGCGGGGCCAGCGGGAAGGAGGAAGGCGACCGGCCGGGCGGGGACAGCAGGGGAAGCGGGGGCGGGTCAGTGGAGGCTCCCCACCCCGTCCGTCTCGACCCCCTCGGCTTCTTCTAAACACGTGCCCGCAGCCGGCCTGCCCTGCTCTTTGAAGGGACAGCTGTCGGGGAGAAAGCTGATTATCGTCCGGAGCTGGAGGCTGTGACGAGCTCCCGGGAGCGTGACCCAATTCCGCGCTATTCTCAGCCTGGTGGGAGCGAGTACTTCCCTCCCACCGGCGCTGCCGCTTCCCAGGCAGCCTGACTTTGAAATGCCCTCGTCCCGAGGCGGGCCGGAGACACACTTACGCACACGTGCGCACACGCAGGGGGAGGGCGAGGCCCCGCGTGCCCCCCGGCCCGGCCCTGCAGCTCCTCCCCTAAAATCACAGGGTCTCTCCTTCCACTGGGACCCGAGGTTAGGCCATGTGACCAAAGGCTCGAAAAGCGCCTGCATGACCCGGCTCGCCCCTACCGCGCCTGGGCCGCGAGAGGAGCCGGGCCCAGGAGGAAGGGGAGGGGCAGTTTACATAAGCTCTGGCCCCAGACGGGGAAGAGCCAGCTCTGGTCGCCGAGAGCCGCCAAGCCACAGGCCCAGAGCAGCTGGCCGCGGCTTTAAGCCCGAATGCTTTTTTTGGAGCGGGGTGTGGGGTGTTGAGGGTGATTATTTGTTATGCAGCATGTTTGTGGCGACAGCTAACTAATACACCTACTTCTCAAACCGTGGGGGTCAGCTGAATGCTGCCTGCCTCTGCGAGATCCAACAGCCTGTTTCTGGTTTAGTTACACAACTAACTATAGGCACAGGGACTGGATGACCCGGATTTTCCAGGAGTCTCAGTGTCGTCTTCTGATACACATGCAAGTGTCCCTGAAGGTGCAAAAAGCTATTCAAGTGCTACAAAGAGCAGAGGACATTTCTCAGATGCATTCAGAAGCAGTCCTCAAATTCTGGCCTTGGCAAATGCAAGATCAGAGGTCTTCTGGAGGTGGTGGAGGCTCCCATGGGTGCTGACCATCATCGAGACACTGTGGACACAGACTGCACACACATCCATGTGATGCTTAATCTCGTGGCAGCCGCCCCTCCCCCCGCCACCCCCCGCCACCCAGGCAGGCGGGTGGGAGGATGTGATTCTGGAAGCCTGAGCCCTTAAGCGCATCCTCGGGAGGGCAGCGTGGGGTCTGGCCATCCCTGCTGGGGTCGGGAGGCCTGCGGGGCCCTGTCCAAAGTCCCTGTTCCCCTGGGACTGCGGAGGCCGCGTCCTGGCAAGGCCTTCTTGTTCCTCCCTGCCCCCGCTGCCTGCTTTGCTTGGAGCAGGCTCTTCCCGCCGGCAGTGAATGTGCCTGGTCCTTGGAGCCCTTGAGGACGGGACAGGCTGCCCTGGAGGCCTGGGTGCTCAGCGTCCCAGGGTGCTCAGCCCGTTTGCTGGGTGAAAGCGCCTGAGGCTGATGAAGACGGTTGCCCTGAGGACTGGACCCGCACCTGCTGGCTCCCTCTTGGGGGCACTGGAGCCAAGACCTCCAGCAGGGCCACCACCCCCTCTCCCTCTCACCTGAGGCGCCACTGGAAGGAAGGGGCACCCCCCCACCCTGGCTGGCATGGGAGCCCTGCAGCCCCTGGGCAGAGCGGAGCACTGGTCCTGCAACCTGCATGAGCTCAGAAGGCTTGCAAACGTGGCTGGCAGTTTCCAGCCTGACACTGCCCTCTGATCCAACCTCGCTCCAAAGCAGCCGCTTCAGGCGCTTTCCACTCCCTCTCCTGGGCCGCGCGGGAAGCTTCCTGCCTGGGGAGGCCGGCTATTCACCGGCCTCTAAGTCCCATCTGCCCTTCCACATGCAGGACTGTCACCTCTCCCAGGGAGTCTTCTAGGATTACAACAGCCATCTCTCTCCTTTGGCTTCTGTGGCCACACCCAACAACCACACAGGGGGGCAGTGTGGCAGATGTGGGAGGTCCTGGGTGGATGGGCAGAGGTGGGGGTGGATGGGATCTCAGTGAGCCTCACCTCTGCAGCGCAGGCCTCAGTTTCTCCCCCCATGCCTTGGGCTGGGATGGGGTAGGAGCCGCACCATCCCCACCCCCAATCCCGGGCCAGGGTCCCAGGCAGCCCACCTGTCTTCCACACAGGCTAGAGGCCCGAGAGCCATACATTCCTGGGAGAACAGAGGCCACGAAGGCAGAGAAGGGGATGGGGAGGGGGCAGCACACAACAGAGGTGCGGGGGCAGGGATGGGAAGCCCACCCCCGCCCTGACCACACCCTGCGAGGCGGGTACAGCCCGCATGGCCCCCGGTTGGGCACAGAGCCCCTCTGAGGCAGGTGACAGGGTGAGGGGGGCATGGGGGGCGGGCAGGGGCAGCTCACCCTGGAGCTGAGAGGGGAGGGCCTGGGGGGCTTCCAGCAGAGCTGGCTGGAGGCAGCCCCCACACACGTGGGCTCTGATCCCACCTGGGGCCCTCCAGACAGGCGAGTCTCACAGCCAGGACAGCTGTCTCCGGGGCTTGAGCCCAGGAGCCAGGGGCTGGGGTGGGGGTGGGTGGCAGGGTGATGCGTCACACCCCTCGGGTCAGGGCCATGTGGGTGCAAGACTTCCTGAGGAAAAACTGAAGGCCAGAGGTGCGTGTCTGGGGCTGGACGGGACTTTCCCGGTGAATCCTTGTCCTGTGACGAGCCCCAGGCTGCTGCCTCGAGGGGTGACCAAGTGACCTGCTCATCGGTCACTTGCTCACCAGGGGCCCTGGGGGGCACACTCCCCATTTGAAGGATTTAAGGGAATCCCCTGGCTCCTGCCAGTCTGTCTGCTGGAGATCCCGGCCAGGGACAGCCCTACAGGGGAGATCACTAGCCTGGGCTCCCGGGGAGCAGGAAAGGGTTGAGCGAGACTACCTGGGGACCAGGGGTGAGAGGCACTGGGACACTTGATGGGCTTTGAAGGATGCGCGGGAGCTCACTGCTGGCTCAGGGCCAGATAGGGCTCCAGGCTGAAGACCCTGGGATGGGATCGAGGTACGGTGGAGCTCTGGGGACTCAGTGTGGGCCCAGTCGAGGGGCTGGAGGACCATCCATCCTTAAAAAAGTGGCTCTGTGCCAAGTACAACCACATGCATGGACAGGGGGCCAGGAATCCTGACCCCGAACCTGGTGGCCCTCTGCCCGTCATCCATCCTGGGCTGGCTTCCCTTCCGGCTCACAGGGCCCCCAGTGCAGGCCCCAGAGCCTCACCCCAGGCAGCGGTCTCAGCCGCTGACCTAAGCCCCTCGGGAAGCGGGCAGCGCCAGGCCTGTCCCCCTACACAGATGCCCCCAAGGCCTTTCCTGAAGGCCGAGGAGAGCCCAGCTCCTTCCTCTGTCCCCACACTAGGCGTGGAGTCAGAGGTCAGCACAGGTCCTTGAAGGGGGACATGACCCCTGGAACAGGGCAAGGGGTTCGGAGGACCCTAGGGTCTCATAGGGGACACAGGTCTTCCTAGGAGACAGAAGATGCCCCCCCGCTGTGATGCTGCCGCCAGGAGACTGGTCCTCTTGGAGGTTCACCTCATTTGGCACAATTCCAAGGACCCCCAAAACCTGGGTGGTGGCCTGGGGCCAGAACAGCAGGCCTGGGAGGTTGGGCCCAGCCGGACACGGATGGACGGATGGACACACACACACACACACACACACACAGCCAGGAACACTCTCCTTCCCCCCACCCCCACTCCCAGGAACAAGTGGCCCTTTCTGCAGCCGGGTGGGGGTGGGGGTGGCCACACACTCATCCCTTTGTCCACCACGTCCCAGGCCATTGTCCTGGAGTCCACAGCCCCGTGGCAGCGGCCCTGGGAGAGGAAGGAGCAGGGGCCGGGTGGCTGTGTGGCGAGATCCAGCTGGATGCTGGTGTGGGGAGTGGAGGCCAGGCCTTGAGGCACCAGGGGACCAGTCACTGTGGTGGGGGCAACAGCATTTATTTCTCCGCCGGGTGTGGTCGGGCAGCAGTCCCAGGCCAGCACGGGCCCCTGGGACTCTCATGCCAACACGGGGTCACAGAGGCTCCTGCTGGCTGGCTGAAACCAGGGCAGGCACCCAGGCCTTTTGTGAAACAGGGTGGGGGGGGGGGCACACGGAGCTGGAGGCTGGGCAGGGCGGGGCGGCGCTCAGCCTAGGACCCTGGGGTCCCTCCGGGCAGGCACGCAGACCAGCTCTAGCACCGCCGGCCGCCAGGAGGCAGCCTGCATCCGTTCTGCTCTCCGCAGAGAGACGGTCTTCTCACGGATCCGCACCCGGGCTCTGGCTGGACCGGGCTGCGGAGCAGGAGCTTCCTGGGCGGAGAAGCCAGGTGGTGGGTGGGGCCCACCTGGAGGGAACCTGGGCACACGGCTGGGGCAGTGCCCGGTCGGAGGTCGGGCCTGAGGCCAGGCAGCAGGGCCACCGCTCTGCTGGCGGTGGGGGTCCTGGGCCCAAGGCCACCGTCCCCGGGCCTCCTCCTCCGCCCTCCCTGTTTGGGGTCACCCAAGAGGGTCAAACCCGCGCCAGCCACATGCCCACCCAGAGGAGCCCACGGCAGTGAAGACGGCAAGGCTACGAGCCGGCAGGGCGGGCACGCTGACCTCGGGCGAGAGCGCTTCCCCCAGGGCCAAGATGCTGCTCCACGGCGGCAGCCCCCCCACCCGCCACCCTGCCAGCTGTCAGGGAGGCCCCCTTGCCCCACCCTCCCCGCTCCAAGTCCATTTCTAAACACCAGCCCGGCAGGCGGCCGCTGACCATACAAGGTAGTCTCTGGCCCGAGTTTCACCTCCCAGCTCCCCGGAGCTCCTGGGGGGCGCTCCCTAGCCCGGAGTCTTGGTGGCGAAAGTCAGGTAGCCAGTGTGGCCCACGGTCTCCTTCATGGGCGTGCCGCTGCGGAAGGGGCTGGCGTCAGGGCCGGGGCTGGCCCCCAGGTCGGGCGCGGGCAGGCTGATGGTGCGCACGTTGTAGACCTGGGGCAGCACCTCCAGGGTGCTCAGCTCCGAGAAGCCGCAGGCTGCCAGCGCCTGGCACGTGCGCTGAACCTGCTCGATGCAGGGCGAGAAGGAGCAGAAGCGCCCACCTGCGGGGGTGGGGCAAGATGCTGGGTCAGAGGGCCGGCCCCAAGCCCACCCCTCCAGCTCTGCCCACACCCCTGCCCGCCGGCGAACCTCTGCCTGGGGGTCTGTGGCTGGGAATGCCGCACAGAGGCAATGCAGCCCGGCGCCTTCAGGAGTGGGTGTTGGGAGAGACCCTGCTGTGCGAGGCGTGGACGCCCGGACCCCCGCTCTGGGCTCCGAGGACGGTCAAGCCCTCCGGCCACCAGTAGCTGAGGCCTCAGAGCGGAAGAGCCAGCAGGGCCCACGAGGAAGGGGCCGCCTGCACCAAGCCCACTGCCTCACCCCTGGGCCCCCACGGGCACGCCCACCCCGACCCCCACCGGCGGCCGAGGGCTGGGGCCAGAGCGGAGTCTCCGCAGGCAGCTGCTGGAGCGCTGAGCCCAGAACAGCTCCAACCGCAAGGAGCCGCCCCGGGGCAGGGGCTGCTGTCACAGAAAATTAGAGGCTGTCGCCGCTCCTGCAAATGGAGGCGCCTACGGAACCAGCCCCAGGCCCAAGAATGACAGGCAGGGCGGGAGCCCCTTCCTGCCTGCCGCCTCCCTCCCCAGCCAGCCCGGGACCTGCAAGGCGGGGGCGGGGAGGCCAGGCTGGGGGAGGCGAGGTGGCCTGGGACAGCCCTCAAAGGTCCCTGAGGCCTGGTCACCTCAGCCCCGCTGGGGAGGCCTGCGCTTGGAGGCAGGGTCGAGGTCAAGCCGGAAGGCACAGGGGGCAGGGCCGAGCCCCGGGGGCCGCACGGAGCTGGCGCCGGGCTCACACGGGCAGGGGAGCCCTGGAGAACCGCCAGACCACGAGGGAGCCGGGAGCCTCTGGGCCAGAACAAGCAGACGCAGAGAGCAGGGCTCCGTGGGGTGGAGGGGGCAGGACAACACACGCAGGGCTCCCGGGCCAGGGGCCGCCTGCGCTCAGCCCAGGCCGTGCGCCCGGCTCTGGCCTCGGGGCACCCGGGCCTGAGCCCGCTGGGGTCCCGGGGCAGGAGGGGCTGGCGGGTGTCAGGGGCCTAGCAGAAGGGGTGGGGGGGAGCTGGTGCTCCCCGGCCACCCTGGCACAGACCTGGGACACGGCAGTCCCCGGCCAGTGGGCAGGGGACCCACTGGCCAGGAATCCACATTCATAGGAGTGGGCCGTCCCCGGGGCTCTGGGCTTTCCCCTCCTGCTGCTCTGCTCAGCGGGGAGGAGGCAGGGGGCCTGGCTGCCGGAGCCAGCCACTTCTCCAGAAAAGGGAAAAACCCAGGGCCTCACCAGCGCCTCCTGGCTCAGAGCCGACTTCCCCGCCTCTGCACCCAACATCTTCCCTAAAAGGGACGCATTCGCCTGGCTTGCGGCTGGCGGGGAGGGGAGACTCCGGGGGGACTGGCTGGGGTCAGGGGCTGACCTCTGACCTCCGGCATGCCCCGCGTCTCAGTCAGGCAGGGCTGCCGGGATACTCCCCAGGGACCTCAGAGCTGGCCAAGCCAAGGGGCAGGGGCCCAGCTGAGCCCTGCACTCCCCAGTCCTGACTTCTCCTACCACCCCCGAACCTCCCTGGGCTACTCTGATCCACCCCGACGCTCTGACCCCCGTCCCAGAAGCCCAGCTCACCTTCGACCTTGAGGGCGTCCCAGGCATGCCCCACGGCCTCCCAAGGCGAGGGGATGTCCAGGAAGACGGCGTCTGCCACGTGGCTCACGCCGAAGCCGCTGCGGCACACGTCCTGGTTCCGCACGGTCACCCAGCGGCCCACGCGGTGCTCCTGGAACTCCTCCCGAGCCTTCTCTGCCCGCTGCTGGTGGAACTCCACCGTGTGCAGGTGGCCCGTGGGCGCGATGGTGCGGATGATGGCGTGGGACACGGAGCCGCTGCCGGTGCCTGGCCGGGGGGGACGGGAGTCAGGCGGGAAATGAGCCTACCCTCACCCTGGGGAGACCCACTGGGGTCCACGAGGTCGGCTGAGCCCCGGTTACCAGCAGGTACCAGTAAGGGGCTCCCCGTGGGGTTCTGGGACACAGGGGCTGTCCCAGGAGGGCGCAGGGGAGCCGCCTGCCTATTGATCTGGGGGGGTCCTGCTGGGCGGGGAGCAGTCCTGCCCACCCCAGCTCTGGAGCAAACCCTGCTGCCCAGACCGGGGTCCCAACAGGGGTCCTTAGAGGGGCCAGACTGCCCCAGGGCCATGCAGGGTCTGGGCAGAGCGGACCAAGAGGCTTGCCCCGTCCCACCTGGTGGCTGGGCCTGAGGGATGCAGGTCAGTCCATCTTCCTACCCCCAGTCCGCTCCCGCCACACGGGGCAGCTCTGCCCTCACCCTGACTCGGCGACCAACGTGTGCCCACATCGCCGCCCCCGTTTTCTTCCAGCCTCAGGCTGCCCCTCTGCTCGCCATCCTGTCCAGCGCCGGGGCCCTGTCACCCCCCATGACCTCCCCACCCCTTATGGCTCCAGGTGCCAAGCGTGATGGAGATACTCTGTGTCCACTGAACACTGACCACCTCCCCCGTGACCGCAAACAGAACCCGGCATTTACGAGTGCAGAGCTGCAGCGATCCAGCCCCAGTCCACTCCCTGCCAAGCCTCTGTTCCCAGTGACGAGGGCGGTGACCGCCCAGCCAGACGCCTTGGAGCCGCCCCCGCCCCCACCGGCACCTCCTCCCCCATCTCTCCAGGAGGTGCCTCTCCCCAGCTGCCCGCAGCGCCCACCTGGGCCCCCTCCCTCCCTGTTACAGCCCCCGAGCCCTGCCCTCAGGCCTGCCTCCACAGCCGAGGGTTCCCTGCAGCCTCCGTCAGACCAGCCCTCTGTTCCACGGCAGAGTCGGACTCCTCGTGACCCCCCTGGCGGCGTGCGCTTCCTCCCTGACCTCGTTCCGGCTCCTGCCACACTGGCCTCCTCGACGGCCCCTCACGCAGGGTCTCTGCGAGGCTCTCACATGGGGTGACCATCCCCCGTGGCTCTTCACAGCACCCCATTGTGTCACTCATTGCTTTCTCCTCAGGTCCTCCCTGACCGCCCAGCTGGAGGGACCCTTCTCAGTCACCCTCAAATGCGCAGCCCACAGTCCGCAGTAACACCGAGACAGTCACGCTGGGCCCACTGCCTGTCCCCTTCAAGAAGCAGAAACCCAGCCTGACCTGTCGTGGCTCTACCCACAGTTCCCACAAGGGGAGCTGGTACCTCAGAGGAGCCCAGAAGCCTGCTCGCTGACCGCGCTTTTCAGCTGAGTGGAGCCAGGCCTTGGCCGCGGATGCCCGGGGGCGGGCAGCAAGGGACGAGCTGGCCCTGAATCCTGTCCACCCCCAGCTCCCCTGGTGCAGAGCGGCCGGCCCCTGCCCAGCCCCCACCCACTCTCTGAACCCGCTCTCGGCTGAGGTTCTGCATCTGACTCTCCCCATTTCAAAGTGATCGCCTGGGCAAAAGCAACCATCCTGTCATCCGCACGGAGAAACCAAGGACCAAAGATGGAGGAGACGGCCTGAAGCCTCCAAAAGCTGGCAGCAGTGCTGCTGGGAACTCTTCACGAGCCTGGAGCACAGGGGCCCGGCGTGTGCAGGACATTCTGGAAATCCAGGCACACCTGGGCCTGGCTGCTCTTGGCCAGGCTGCAAGCTTCAGTCCACAGCACGTGTGTGTGTGTGCGTGCGTGCGTGTGTGTGTGTGTGCACGCACACACGCAGAGTCTGGGAATATCTGGCTTCAGGTACTTCCATCTGCACCCCAGGCCTGGCCTCAGTGATGAAGGCGCTGGCCTGGGATGAGCACAAGGCAGGCTCTTCCCCCGCAGTGAGTACTCTGGAGCAGCCCTGGCCTCCCTCCAGAAAGAGGCGATCCTCAGCCCTGGGCCTGGGGTTGCCATTCGCAGCAGTGAGGGACTGCTAGGCCAGGCACCCCTACCCTTCTGTCAGCACCTTGGTCAGCGCCGAGCAGCGCTAACCACCCCTTCCCCACCTCACACAGGCAGGCTTCCCCCTGGGTGCCCGCTCCTCCTGCGGGCTGTCCTCGGTCAGATCCCGTTAAGTCTCATTGGAGGACAGCACCAGTCTCCTAACCAGCTTCCCTGTGTCTTTCCCCCCTCGCTGCAGTCAGCTCCCCAGAAAGACCCTGCAGAAACAGATGGTGAGTGTGCCTCTGCTCTGGAAGGGCAGGCTGAGGCTGCCTGGACACTGGATCTGACCTCCGCCTTCACGAACCAAGGCAGCCTGCAGAACTCACCAGATTCACAGACCACGGAGCCAGGCCGAAGCTCCAGCATCATGGTGAGCAGGGCGATGTCGGTGGAGTAGAGGATCTGGGTGCGGTGCGGCAGGTTCAGTGTCCAGAGCTCCGGTGTGGGGTGCAGCACATACACCCAGCCGCCTCTGCCGCAGGTCACCTTGGAGCCGAAGGGGCGGCCGATGAGGTCCACTGAGTGCCGCAGGACGCCGTGCCGGGTCTGGGTCTGGGCCCCACGCTGCACACGCACGGCCACCATCGCGCCATGGCCCAGGGACAGGATGGCTGTGTCACCCTCTTTGATTAGCTCCTCGTAGGCCACGAAGCTCATGGTGCTGCTGGTCCGACAGGTGCCGGGGACCTGGGAAGTGTGGGCATGAACGTGTAAGGGGCCAGGAGGCGGGCCTGTGCGCCTGGCATCCAGGGAGAAAGCCCTTCTTGGTCTGGTCCTAAGACGAGAGCCATCAGCCCAAACCTCAGACGGAGAGACTGAGGCCGGGTCCCAGGATTCCCACAAAGTAAGGGCCTGACCCTCTCCCTCGGCATCCTTCTCCGGGAGCTTGGCTCCCGTTCTCTAGCTGTGAAACGAGAGAAGGACCACGCAGAGCGGGGGGCCGTGAGGTCACCTCCAGGCCAGGCAGAACTCCCCTCTCTCTTCACCCTCCCCCGTGGCGGGCTCCTGGGCAGACGGATGACGGGGCGATGCAAATGCACAGGTTCCCCAAGCGGAGGCTGGGGCCGTGCAGCGGGCAGTAAACAGCAACAACGGCCTGGCCTGCGTAGAGGCCGGCGGCGGCGGCTCAGGCCAGGCCGGCAACAGGGCTGGGCGCGGCCACGTGGGGCTGCCGGGACGTGCAGGGCCCGCCGGGGAGACGCCCCCCACACTACCCGCGCTCTGCCACCGTGGCCCCGCCGAGCCTCACCGGCGACGCTCGTCGCCCTCCGACTCCTGGAGGCGCCGCACGTGGCTTCGCGTCGCCGCGGCAGCACTTCCGCCGGCTGGGGCGCGGCGCCCGCCGATGACATCATGGCGCCCCCGCCCCCTGACGCGCGCGGGGGCTCCCGGGAGAGAGGGCGGTGTCTCGGGGTGCGCACCGCCCCTCCCCGCGTCCGTGGCGCGCTCTAGGTCGGCCTGTCCGGGTGCTACCTGCTCGCGCTCAGGACCGCCGAGAGCCCGGGTAGCCCGCCCCCAAGCTGCCGCGGTCTCCTCTGTGGGCGCAGGCGTGACTGGTGAAACTCCAGAAAATGGAGCTGCAGAGGAGCGGGTCGTCCCACAAGGCTTTGGCGGGAGGCAGCCTGAGCAGCAGGGAACGGTGGCCAGAAGCGGCCTTACACCCAGGCCTGGCCTCTCCTGTAATGGGCACGTTCTCCGGAGTGCGGAAGCCGCCTCCAGGACGGAGGGAGCCCTGCGTCCCCTCCTGGAAACCCAGGGTGCGCTGAGCACTGGACGCACGGGCCTTCTCTTGGGGGGCCGGGTCAGTGAGGACAGGAAGAGCGGCCCGAGCGGGGGAGGGCCATCTGGAGGGCCCCGCAGAAACAGGGAAGCTGCAGCCCCATTGTGTCTCAGCGGTGCTGAATCAGAGCCAGGCTCTGGGCTGGGCGGACAGTGTGCGCGGGGGAGGGACACGGGGGCAGGGACCGTCTTCCTCCAGTGCGCATGTCCCCGTGGGCCAGGCCTTATCTGATGGAGACCCCAGCCCACCCAGCCAGGCTGGGGCCTGAGCCCCAACTCAGGACCAGCTAGCATGACCCTTGGCCACGATTCCCAGACCCAGGCTGCTCCATCCTGGACAACTGGGAGTGGCCAGGCCCTGCGGAACCAGCCCCTTCCTAGAGCCCTGTCAACTTGTAGGGCGCTGAACTCTTCCCTCCTCTGGGGCCGGGCCTGGTGAGGGTGTCTGCGAACTGCAGAGTCCATGATGGAGACCCAGGTCCCTAGCCTTAGCTCCTCCATGCCCCTTTCCTGACTGGGCCTGCGTCTTGGAACCCCAGGGGAGGAAGGTGGGGGCCTTTGGTGACCTCTCATTTTCTGTGGGTTCCTGTCCCTGCGGGGCCAGTGCTCTGACCACCAGCTGCCTGTGTGGCTGCATCACAGCCTTGCCTCCTCCTCTCGGACAACTCAACTCCATCTGTAGCTCGCCAACCTTTGTTCCAGGTGACTTTGCACCCGCCTGAATCACCTCTTAATTGCTCTCCTGGGAGATAGCAACTTTCCACTTCTTGGGGGTTCCTCTTCCCCAGCCTCTCAGCTACTCAGAGGCTGAGTGCACACTAAGAGCCTAAATTTGGACTCGGTGACTCAGCAGTGGTTTCCTCTGGTTCCCAACTTCCCATCGCCTTTCTGTGGGGGACTGGTAGGCCAGCTTCTCCATTGCCCTCTCCTCCAGGCAGCCTTCCCAGGGCTGTCTGTCTTCTCTTTGATTCTGCCCAGCCCTCAGCCTGAGTCCTCAAGCACCAACTGATTAGCCAGGTCAGGTGGGTACTTTGCCCAGGGCAGAGTTTATATATTTCACCCCCTAAAAAAAACTGAGGCTGTGTAAGCCCAGTTAAGTGTCATCACTTTGAATCTTACCCACAATCCTGTGAGAGAGGGACCATTTTACAGACTCAGGGAAGTCAGGTAATTTGCCTAAGATCACACAACTAATGTGGCCAAAGTGGGATTGGGATTTAAAGTCAGTAAACTCGGCTTCAGAAAACCAAAGGCAGATTGGAAGAAAGGTGGGAACAGGCAGGAACAGGGCCCTGGAGGAGAGCAGGAGGCCGATGATGCCCTCTGGGGAGGGCCGTTCTGCTCTGATCTCTGATCCACGGTCTCCTCTTCCCTGACCAGCTTGATCTCCTGCCCCACCATACTCTGTGGCCACAAGGCAGCCCTTGCCCCTTTTCTGACCCCAACCAACTTCCCCTTTGGGTTCTGTGAAGCTCAGGGACAGGGCATTAGGAGGAAGTCCTAGGCCCTGCTTGGGGCCTGGCCCTCCTCCACTGGCCCCGCTCTGTGCCTGCCGAGCAGGGCCGTGTTCTGTGGATGAAAGGCCAGGGACTCCTTTGAGGCTCCCCACCCCCTCCAGGGCCAGGTGGTTAATGTGTAACCAAGTGTGATTTCTGAGAAACCTGGACCATAAACTGGCTGGATGATGTCACCTAGCTTCTTGCCCAGACGCTGCCAAACCGGCTCCTGTGGGCCCTGGGGAGACTGGAGGGTCCACAGGGGAGGGCTCGGTTAGCTGGGAGCAGCGTTCTTCCACAGAAGTGGAGGCTGGTGCCCTCCTGGGCCCCTCTCCTTGTTCCCTTGCTCAAGACCACCCAGGCTCCCAAGTGGCCGCTGCCCGGTAGGGGCCTCGCCCTGACTTTTGGGTCTATAAAGGCCTCCAAGACCCCTCCTCTCTTCCCCCGTCACAGTTGCTGACCACATGTGTTGTCAGTCTGAGTCCAGCCCAGGTGTGGCCAGCTCGGGGTCTGCAGGGTGGGCCCTCAGGCAGGTTAGCACAGGGCCAGGCACTGCAGGATCACAGGGGGATTGCCAGACCTTGGACCTGGTTCCCCATCACCCAGCTTCTCATCTTCCCTTTGCTCATCTGCAAAACTAGGACAAAACATGCATCTCAGAAGGCTGAGAACTGCTGGAGCCCCAGGCAGACCCTGGGCAAGACCCCAAGCCTCTGGACTTCACTTCTCTAGTGAGGACCTTGCTTGTGGAGGGAGAGGGGAATGGGGTCCTTCCCTGTCCCTGTCCCCCCAAGTGGGTCAGGCTCTTGGTGGCCTGAAGGTGGTGGTGGGGGACCTTCTGAGAAGCTGCCAAAGCTACAAAGAGGAAGGAAGCCCTGAGCGCCCCCCGCCTCAGTCTCCGGGGTCTGAAAGTCAAGTAGGCCTCCAGAGCCAGCACTCGGTTTAGGAAACAGAATCTTGAGTCCATCAGTCCTTTGTCGGTGGGGTGCTGGGGAGGGCAGGTGCAGATATTTCTAAAATGAGGGAGAGGGGCAGCAGGAGGCACGGAACACAGGAATTTCAGGCTTAGAGGACACCTGTCGGGCCAGTCCAGAGCCATTTGTCGTTCTACCTTGCTTTGCTTTACGGGTCTAAAAAAAATGCTGACTGGGAGCAGGTCAAAACACGCCAAATTGAGCAAGGGAAGAGGCAGGAGTCCTCCATGGTAACCGCGGGCCTTGCACAGAGGCAGAGGCAAAGGAACGTGCTCACTCTGTGCTCCGGCGCCCTCAGGGGCCCCAGCACACGGATCACCGCTCAGCCCCGCCGGAGGCACCCGTCTCCTCCCGGTTCTTGACCATATCTTGTTCCCTTGGCTGCTTGCTGACAGCTGCCGAGCTCACAGTCTTCCGCCAGCAGTCCTGTGCAGTTCTGGTGGGATTTTGTTGAATAAACACATAGATAAGTGTTTTCCCCCTTCCTTGTTTTGTTCACAAAGCAACCAGATGATGGACATTAACCATTAAAGTGCCAGTTCACCCTTTAAAAAAATACTGATTGATTCATTTTTGGCTGCTCTGGGTCTTCGTCGCTGCGGTCAGGCTTTCCCTAGTTGCGGTGAGCCGGGGCCACTCTGTGCTGTGGCCTGCTGGCTTCTTGTTGCAGTGGCGTCTCCGCTCCTGGGGCTCAGTAGTTACGGCGCACAGACTTAGTTGCCCTTTGGGCAGGTGGAATCTTCCTGGACTAGGGCTCAAATCCCTGTCCCCTGCATTGGTAGCTGGATTTTTATCCACTGCACCACCAGGGAAGTCCCCAATTCATGCTCTTTAATAGCTGTATAATATTCCACACTGGAGAGATGCCTTCCCTACCCCTGGCCAGTCCCCAGGTGATGGGCATCCGGTTACATACAGGTCTGTTTGTGTTTGTTACTCCTACTAGAGAGGGTTGGCCTGTGTGCAAAGAGAGATGAGACTACAGGCTGGATTCCTAGAAGTGGGATTGCCGGGTCACAGAGTACAAAGATTTTATGTTTTAATAAATACTACCAAATTACTTTCCAAAACTAATGTAGCACTTCACAGTTGCAGGCAGCCTGTGAATGCCTGTTTCCCTACATTCCGGCCCATAGCCAACACTGGCTGGTGCCAGTCTGGGGTGTTGGGTATAGTGGAAGGCATAGTCATTACTTTCACTTGCAGGATTCTGATTTTCAGTGAGTTTTTTGTTTTTTAAGTCTCACATGTGCTTATTGTTTGTGAGCATTTCCTCCAGCCTCTGCGGAGAGTCTCTGAGGACGACCTTTGGGGTGGGGTGTGGAGATGAACTTGTCCCTGGAAGAGAGGGCCAAGGCCTGGGGTCTGGGGGTTCTGAGACCGTGCTCTTCCCAGCAGGGCCACAGTCAGTATTCGCTCATCAACCAGGAGGGGCTGAGTCTCTGGCTCAGATGACCCCAAAGCCCGGGGACTTGCCCAAGGTCACGCCACCAAGGGTGCCGCCGGGCTGGGCCGCAGCCAGACTGCGCCTCCGGCGTGCCTTTGCTCTGCACCAAGATCGCCGGGGAGATGCCTGCGGGCACCTTGAAGAAGGTCGGCGGCTCGGCGCCAACTCAGACTGGGAGGGAGAAGGCTGCGGGGGTGGGGTGGGCGGCGGGGGGCGGCGGTACCTGCCGTGGAAGACCGGGACGGCTCCCGCCTGGCCCGTCGCCGCGACCACCACGAGGACTAGCTGGAGGAGGGAAGGCAGGGGCCGGGGTGCAGACAAGGCCGAGCGTTCTCAAGTGCCTGCCGGCTCTCCTGCCTCGGTTTCCCGCTTGGAGGTAGGCGTGGGTGTGGGGGAATCCGGAATGTCCGAGGGCCTGAGGTTCTGGCTTCGGGATCCTGGGCGGGCGCGGGGTGGGGTTAGGCAGGCTGCGCGGGGTCCCGGCCAGGGGATAGTCGGGGTGGGCTGCTTGGGGTTGGTGGGGGGGTGCTCCGGGGGCAGAGGGTGGCGGACAAAGCGGCGGCACCACCCCGCAGCGCGACCCAATGGAATGAATGGGCTATAAATAGCGGCCAATGGGCGGCCTGCGTCGCGCCCCTTAAGAGCCTCGGGAGCGCGGAGCCGCCGCTGTTCGCCTGCGCCGCGCCCTGAGCTGCAGACAGACCTAGAGCCCCCGCCCCTGCCAGACTGCTCAGTGAGTGAGCCGGGGGGCCGGGGGGGTGGGAGGCGCGGGGCACCGAGGTGGGGGTTGTTATGCACGGAGCGGGGGGCGAGGGCCAGGGCGTCGCGCGCTCCAGACCTCCCGGGGTCCGAAGCCTGGAGCAGGCGCTCCAGCTGGGCCGGGGGTCCTGGGCGCTGTGGTAGCCCCATGCGTGCAAGCGCCGACCTCGGTGACCTTGACCGCGACCGGGCTGACCGGAGCCCGGGGCCCTGGGTGGTTAGCAGGTCACCAGGAGGCCCGGAGCCTCGGGTCCCCGCCGACTCCCGCGTCTCCCCGCAGCCCGCCGCCGCCATGCCCTTCTCCAATAGCCACAACACGCTGAAGCTGCGTTTCCCGGCCGAAGATGAGTTCCCCGACCTCAGCGGCCACAACAACCACATGGCCAAGGTACTCACCCCCGAGCTGTACGCCGAGCTGCGCGCGAAGAGCACCCCAAGCGGCTTCACGGTGGACGACGTCATCCAGACCGGCGTGGACAACCCAGGTACGCGCGCCTCAGGCTCGAGGTCAGGACAGGAGCCTGCGGCTGGGGTATAGCGCCCCCGCCCCCTGGCCCCCCACCCCCCGGGGCCAAGGTCCGGGCCCCCTCTTTGCGCGCACAGCTACAGGGTCCTCGGCGGCTTGCTTGGGCCTGGCAGTGACGTCACCGGCCCGATTCCGCGCTCCCCCCAGGCCACCCCTATATTATGACCGTGGGCTGCGTGGCCGGCGACGAGGAGTCGTACGACGTGTTCAAGGAGCTTTTTGACCCCATCATCGAGGACCGGCACGGAGGCTATAAGCCCACCGACGAACACAAGACGGACCTCAACCCCGATAACCTGCAGGTGCGGGTGGCCCGGAGCAAGGGGGTCGGCGGGGTGGGGAGGGGCCGCCCGGCGCTCAGCCCTGCTTGGCCCCCAGGGCGGCGACGACCTGGATCCCAACTACGTGCTGAGCTCGCGGGTGCGCACGGGCCGCAGCATCCGCGGCTTCTGTCTCCCCCCGCACTGCAGCCGCGGGGAGCGCCGCGCCATCGAGAAGCTCGCCGTGGAAGGTAAGGGTCGGGCCGGCTGCGCTACGCTCTTCAGCCCCGGGCCCTGCCGGCCTGTTTACCAGTCACCCGAGCCGCCACGCTCTTATCTGCCCGCCGGCTCGGGTTTCCCGGAGGGACCGATGCCCAGCCCCAAGCCCACAGCGCCCTGAGGCCGGGCGAGGGTCGGCTTGGGCCGTGTCGCTCCGGACTGGGGGGACTGACTGGGCTCCAGCCAGGCCGAGCGGGCATCCTGGGGGTGTCCGAGCGCGCGGGGTGGTGGCGGGTTGGGGCAGGAGCCCACCCGTCCTTCTGATCGTGCTCCTTCGCAGCCCTGTCGAGCCTGGACGGTGACCTGGCTGGGAGGTACTATGCGCTCAAAAGCATGACGGAGGCGGAGCAGCAGCAGCTTATCGACGACCACTTCCTTTTCGATAAGCCCGTGTCGCCCCTGCTGCTGGCCTCGGGCATGGCCCGCGACTGGCCCGACGCCCGCGGCATCTGGTGAGTATCCCCCGGCCCCCGCCCGCGCCGTGCCGGAGGGAGGAGGGCGGCTCCGCGCTCCTCGGGTGGGTTTGGTGCTCCCGGGCCTCCTCGCAGTTGACCTTGACCGCGCAGGTGCGGGAGGGCCCCGAGCGGGTGGGGCCGTCCTGTCGGCGTTCCTCCCCCGCCTCCGGGAGCCGCGGCTCCTTGTTTGCTCTTTCCTTTCCCACCCGCGGGGAGTCGGTCAGGTGCGGGGTGACGCAGACGCTTCCTCGAGGTGGGGGAGCAGGGCTCACACGGGATAGAGCGGCCCCCCGTTTGCGGGGCGGGGCCGGGCCGGCTGCCTCTGCCCCTCAACCCCTAGGTGGGCACCACACGGTACCTGACTGGCTAGCTGGGAAGCAGCTCAGGGCTTCGTGTGCCCTCTCTGAGGTGCCCTGTGTGCCCGCAGGATGTTGATGGGTCTAGAGTCGTGATAGCAGCCCCCCGGCCCTAGGGCCAGCTGGGGTGAGCACCTCAGCGACTTGGGAAGTGCCCCGGCCCTCGGCTCCTCGAGAGGTTTTGTTCCTGGATATGTCCTGAGACCCTTGTCCAGGGAGGCGGCTTGACTGTACCCCTCCCCCAGGCACAATGACAATAAGACCTTCCTGGTGTGGATCAACGAGGAGGACCACCTGCGGGTCATCTCCATGCAGAAGGGGGGCAACATGAAGGAGGTGTTCACGCGATTCTGCAACGGCCTCACCCAGGTCAGGGCTGGTGCCACGGAGGGGCAGGGCCAGGCCCCAGGGTTCAGGCAGAGATGGAGGTGCCCCATCAACCCCCTGGGGAGACCAGGTCTTTGTTGCCTCAGGGTCCTGTGGGAGGGGTCCCAGCTGGTCCTGGGGGGGGGGGGCGCGGTGTCTTCAGCCATGCCTCCCCTCTCACACCTTCTCCATCTCCAGATTGAAACGCTCTTCAAGTCTAAGAACTACGAGTTCATGTGGAACCCTCACCTGGGCTACATCCTCACCTGTCCGTCCAACCTGGGTACGGGTCTGCGGGCCGGGGTGCACATCAAGCTGCCCCACCTGGGAAAGCACGCGAAGTTCCCCGAGGTGCTCAAGCGGCTGCGGCTTCAGAAGCGAGGCACAGGTGAGTGGCGGGGGGCGCCGCGAGGCAGCCCGCGCCCCCGGGCAGCCCCCTCCCAGCCCCGCTGAGCTGGCCGTCTCCCCAGGCGGTGTGGACACTGCCGCTGTGGGCGGGGTCTTCGACGTCTCCAACGCGGACCGCCTGGGCTTCTCGGAGGTGGAGCTGGTGCAGATGGTGGTGGATGGCGTGAAGCTGCTCATCGAGATGGAGCAGCGGCTGGAGCAGGGCCAGGCCATCGATGACCTCATGCCGGCCCAGAAGTGAGGCCCTGGCTGCACCTGCTGCCTCCACCAGCTCCTCCGCTGCTTCCTAACTTATTGCCGAGGCCGTGCCCGCCACGCGCCCCGGAGGCTCGCTGTGTGGTGGCTGAGCCCTTAGCCTTGCTGTAGAGACTTCGTCGCCCTCGGTAGAGTTTATTTTTGTGATGGCTGAGATGTTGCTGATGCTGAAATAAACTAGAGTTTTGGCCTGTCCCAGGTCTGAGTGGTGCCTCCTCTTTCCAGGGCAGCCCAGGGCCCAGCCGCGGGTCCCGAGGCCTGGCCTGCCGCCCCACCCCCCCCACGCCCCCGTCCGCTTCACTGTCAGCTGGGACCGAGCTGTGCCCCCAGTCCTATTCCGTGAACCTCTGCCCTCCTGCCTCGGCCCTCCCTGCAGGGCCGGGTTGGGCTGCTGGCAGAGTCCCAGCTTGAGCATCTAGAGGATCTATTCGGGGGCCTGCGGGGTGGAGCCTGGCACTTCATTCGGCCCCAGCCTGTAGCCTGGAGGAGCTCTGGATGCTGGGGGAAGGGCAGGAGCCCAGAAATTTGGTTCTTTTCCAGCTCCGCCCCCGAAAGCCATTTCCTCCTCTTGCAAGCAGCTTCTCCCTGTTGCCTCCCCCTCCCACCCTGACACCTACTCTATTTCCTAAATAGTCTCTCTGCTCCACTTCCTCCCCTTCAGCCTCCCCAGGCCTAGCCCTCCCGTCCCTCCCGTCCCTCCCAGGGAGCCCCAGGGCCCCCTTCGTCCTCCCATCCTTGCAGCCTCTTCTCCAGGACCCTCGGGGCCCCAGTTCCTGGGCCTCCCCAAATAGGGAGGGGGTGAGCTGTTCGGGATAAGGTCTTTGGGTCTGTCTCCCGGCTGCTGCTGGGGGCCCACCGTGGATGGGCAGGCACCCTAGGTAGGAGGGGTGAGCCCACAGCCCCGCCCTGGGCTTGTCCGCTCCAGCTCCTCAGTTCACCGACGGTCTGCTGCCCCCTGCTGGCCAGGGCTGCCCCTGCGTAATCAGCCGTTCAGACCTGACCCTTCTGGGAGGCCGCCCGGGGCTGGCAGTCATGCCTACAAGAAGCATGGGCTCTCATGTCCCAGGGGCATCTTGTCAACTTAGACCCCAGGACCAGGAGGTTGGAGGGACGGCCGTGGAGTGGCAGGCATGCCTTGGCGTCCTCTTCAGTGGCCAGGTGGGTGTGAGGGACTCACAGGCAGAGCCTTTGCCGGGGGAGGAGGGCAGAGGCTAGGTGAGTGAACACCCGAGTAGGCTGCGCAAGCCCTCTGGCACAGAAGGGGGCTCTGCACCATCCTGGGGGTCCTTGACTAGCCTGCAGGCCAGGGCCCAGTTCTGCACTTGCTCTCTTGCCATGAAGTTCCAGGTCAGGCAGCACTCCTTTGCTCAGCTTCCTCTTCAGCTACGGTCCCCCTCCAGCAAGTGGGGGCTGGGCTAGGCCAGGCCATGCTTTGCAGACTGTCGTCTGGTGACTCAGAGCGGAAAGCACGGAAGTGTGCGCCTCTGGGAAGGCCTCTCCCTGCTGAGGGGCTTGAGCAGCTCAGAAGAGGCAGCAGCAGGGTGGGAGGCCTCCCTGCTGGGCCAGGAGCTGCCAGGGTGGCTGTGTCGCCATCATCTGCGTGGCCTGCAGGCAGGGTTCCAGGCCTGAGGCCTTGCATGTGTGCCCCCTCCAGCTGAAGGCTCCCCCTGCTTGTCCAGCCCCCCACACCACCTGGGACTGTTTCAGGAATGACTGTGCGGGGGTACCTGAGGGGCCTGGCCTGGCAGGCACATCGCTTCCTGATAGGATGTCCAACACGTTCACCACATTTTTGAGACTGTCCCAGTGGGACGTGCCCAGAACTAGCAGTGATCACACCAAAGGAGCTGGAACTTCAAGTCACCCTGTGCAGGCCTGTCACCAGGAAGGGCGGGTGGGCAGGGCTCCCTGCAGGATCTCTTATGAGACAGTCAAGTCAACACCCGGGGAGCCTCGCCCTTGTGCCCAAGGCTGGGGTGGGGCCCTCGGGAACTGGGCCCAGCTCCCTGGGACCCTGTAAGGAGAAGTGTCTTCTGCAGGATCAGGGCTACACTGACTCAAACCCACTGCTGCTCCCTGGGCCACCCGTTTTATCACTTTTTACTCAACCGGAACTTGTAAGCGGCACTATTTTTGGAACAAGACCATACACCCAGCGAGAGCACTTCTGCTCAGCCTTCCATGGACCCTTCAGCCTGAGTCCCTACAACTTCTCCCCCTTTCCTCTGGATTCAAGAGACCTTTAAGCAGGGCGATTTTAATATCCCTTGAAACTATGGCCGAACATGGGAAGTCTACGGAATGCCCAGCCACACGGGACACACTGTCTTCGCCCAGGGTCTGGAGCAGAAGTCACCCAGGAGTGCCGCACCTGCAGCGCAGCCGGGCCCGGCCAGGACGCCCCCGCCACGGAGCCGCCAACAGCAGGCGGTAGGAGGGGGTGCCCGCTGCTGCCCGCCTCCAGGTGCCAGCAGCATCGCTCGCGCTGCTCGGGACAACGGGAAGAAACTCTAGGCACCGCCAAGGGTCCCCTGGGGGCCCAAGTTGCCCTCGGCCCCTTCAAGAACCATCGCTGCACGTGATAACGAGACGCAATCACTCGGGACAGGGGTGGGCTGGTCGGGACTCCGACAATAAAGGGCTGGGACAAAACTGGGCCACCTCCCTCCCTCAATGTGGCGCCACGCGGGCGTGGAGAACTTGGTGAGCCGGCGACAGCTTCAAACAGCAGAAGTGTAAAAGCAGGTTATAAAACAGCTTGTCCTTGTGGGATCCCACACAGATCACGGATGGAAAAATCCCGGAGAACAGTAGTCGGCTGTGGGTGGTGGGGTAACAGGTGACTTCCTTCATTTTCTTTTCCAGAGTTTCTACAGTGAACATGTATTCCTTATATAAATAGCTGAAACAATTTTTTTTTTTGAGTGATTTAAAATAAACGCTCTAAGGTGTCCTAGTTGGTGGGAGACTTGAGGCTTCTCTCCTGACTTCCTGGACTGTCTACTGGTTCCTGGCTCCTCGCCAGCCCAGCCAGCAGGTGGGCGTTGCCCCCGTCACTTCTGTGGACACCAGCCTCTGTCACAAGGACCCATACTGAGGGCAGCTCTTGTTTCCTGTGGATCACTGCCTTAAGGCACTCCAGCCCTGCCCTGGGCTCTGTTCCTCTGTCGTCGTTTCAGTGAAAACTGTTTAGTTCCGTCTCCTCCCTCGAGTCTGAAGGATTTAGGCCCTGAATCTGGCTGCTTGTCCCTCTGACTGGCCCTTGATCTTTTCCTTGACTAATCCAAGGGTCCTCCTTAGGCTGACCAACCTGGCAGACTTTAGGTGCTCACGGGGACCCCATTGTTGACACTGGGAGAATGCCAGAACAAATAAGTACCATCAGCCAGGACCCATCAGACCCCTGTCAACTCATCCCAATAAAACACAGGAGTAACTGCAAGCATCCAGATGGACTCCTGCTAGGATGCATATTAGCTAATTGGGGAAAATTTAGACTGATAGGGCAAAAAATATTGGGTCATTAAATTACAATACCATCTTGCAGCTGATGGTCTTACTTTGTAAAAGAAAAGGCAAATCGGGCAGGAAGTCCCATTCATCCTAATGTTCAAATGAAAATGAAAGTCACTCAGTCATGTTGGACTCTTTGCAATCCCTTGGACTATACAGCCTATGGAATTCTACAGGTCAGAACACTGGAGTGGGTAGCCTATCCCTTCTCCAGTGGATCGTCCCGACCCAGGAACTGAACCGGGGTCTCCTGCATTGCAGGCGGATTCTTCACCAACTATCAGGGAAGCAAGACCCTATTCCAAAATCCGAGTCTAGAGAACTGCTTGGTGTGCCTGGCTCACACCCCGCCCCCCCAGAGGAGCCCGATGCTTTAGGTGATCCCCTTATGAGTCAACCTCCCTGAGGTCCACAATTGGGAGCTCCTACCTATCCCAATTCTGAAGGGGTGGCAGCCTTCCAGACCATTTACCCCTCATGTCCCATCTGGGGGGCTGTCAGTAGCTCACGGGTGTGGCCTTTGGGACACTTAACAGCATAGGAGGCTAGAAGCAGCTACCCTGGTGGCTCAGATGGCAAAGATTCGCCTGCAAAGCGGATGTGGGTTGGATCCCTGGGTCGGGAAGATCCCCTGGAGAAGGGAATGGCAACCCACTCCAGTGTTCTTGCCGGAGAATTCCATGGCCAGAGGAGACTGGCAGGCGACAGTCCATGGGGTTGCAAAGAGCTGAACACGACTGACCATTTCTCTTTTTCTTTATAAGGGAGAGAGACAAAAAGGATTCAGGGACAACATGAAAAAGCCTAATTACTGGCAGCAGCTGTAACCCCAGCACCACCTCAAGGTTATGCACCCTTGCGAAGACCCATGCTGAGGATAGGACCCAGGAAGCCTGGATCAGAGCCGCTGTCTCACTGAGAAAACATGTTTTAAGTGCGGACAAGAGGGCCACTGGAAGCATGACCGCCACCAGTCCTGAAGGGATATTGGGGCTCTCAAACCAATGATGGCCGACAGGGCCCAGGGCCTCCCTGTCTCCCAAAGAACATCTGGAGAAGCCTCTGCGGTTCATTTCTCTGGAGAAGTCTCAGGTAAGCCTTGACGTGGCTGGTAGTTTTCTTAGTAGAAACGGGGGCTGACTGACCTCCTTCCCAATCCTGTAAGATGATGGGGACTGATGGAAAGCCCCCAGCCAAGTGCTGCTCGTGCTGTAGTGCACTGCCCCCTTGCCAGGAAACAGACTTGCTCACTAAATCCCAGGCAACTGTAGTTTAGAGACCCTCAAAGAAAAGGCACCCACCAAGAGTTATTCCTGGTGGGGAGGGGAGCATGCTCAGTCCCAAGCGAGAGGTCTCCATTCTACCCCATCCAAGCTGTCAAACTATGGGCTGCTGACCTGGTTCACGCTGCTGGAAGTAAACGTGGCTTTCTTCTGCACCCAGACTCTGAAGACCTCTTTGCCTTTGAGTGGACAGACCCAGACACTGCAATGCCATGAATGCTTCCGCTCTGTGTGCTTATAAAACTCAAGCCAATGGTGCCCACAGGATACAGATTCTAACAATGTAAAAGTCTGGCAAATAATTGTCCTGGTACCTTTAAAAATAGGATTCCATGGGGCTATAGACAAGCCTCCTTACATCAAAGGCCAGACTGAGGGTCCTACAAAATTGTAAACAGATTACCAAAATGGAGGCCAATGGTCTGACTAAACTAACTGTACCTGACAGGAATTTTTGGGGAAGGCTACCCCCCTAAGTTAAATGAGGAAAAGTAGAACATTCCAACATTTGTGAACACGGGTGTGTCAGTCTCTCAATATCATTGAGGTAGCCACCTAATTCTTTTTAAAAAAGAAAAAAAAAAATTGTCCTTGTTTTACAAGTCAGATCTTCAGAGAACTAGAGGTGTGGCTCTAAAAGCAATCCAAAACCCACCAATCCTTTTACCACTCCCCAAACCTTGCCCATTGATCTTAAGAAAGTATTAAAATTAAAGAAAGTCATCCTGGGAGGAACTTGCCTGTGCCTCTGAGATTCAAATGTCCTACCAGGTTTGCTCCCGGAACTCCCATCTCAGCCATCTTTTTAAAATGCAAAAAAAGTAGAATCACTTGTTGGACTTATATGAATAGAATGCCCTTGTGGCTCAGCTATTAAAGAATCTGCCTGCAAAGCGGGAGACCTGGGTTCAATCCCTGTTGGGAAGATCCCCTGGAGAAGGGAAAGGCTACCCACTCCAGTATTCTGGAGAATTTTTGTTAGGGCTACAGTCCATGGGGTAGCAAAGAGTCGGACACGACTGAGCGATTTTCACTTTCACTGAAAATCCATCAGACTTTCACTTTGCAAACAGACATGCCACAAGCAGCAGAGGCTTACTGTATAGCACAGGGAACTATAGTCAACATCTTGTTCTGTTCTTAGTTGCTCAGTCATGTCCTATTCTTTGTGACCCCATGGTCTGTAGCCCGCCAGGCTACTCTGTCCATGGGGATTCTCCAACCCAGTGGGTTGCTATGCCCTCTTCCAGGGCATCTTCCTAACCCAGGGATCAAACCCAGGTCTCCCGCATTGCAGGTGGATTCTTTGCCATCTGAGCCACCAGGGAAGCCCAAGAATGCTGGAGTGGGCGGCCCGTCCCTTCTCCAGGGGGTCTTCCCGACCCAGGGATCTAACCAGGGTCTCCTGCACTGCAGGCAGATTCTTTACCAGCTCACCAGGGAAGCCCCAATATCTTGTAATAACCTACAATGGAAAATAATTTCAAAAATAATATATGTATATAAGTGAATCATACACACAAAAATTCTACTTTTTGAAAATACATAATATTTATCTTTTAGCCAAGTTTTCTAAATGTCCTTTGGACATCCAATAACAAGGAACAAGATACAACATTTTAAATGTATTTGTGTAGGATATAAGGTTGATTATGATTTTTGCTTATCTATTTTTCTTTGTTGTTACGTGTCTAATGGTTTATGATGTATATCTTCTCTGTGAATTGTACCTTTTATCATAAAGATCCCATGTGCTGCAACTAATAACCCACACAGCCAAATTTAAACAAATTAATAATAATTTGGAACTTGTCAAGGACAAATAAAAATCTTAAGCATTTTCCATAAATATTAGTAGAAAGGGTTTTGCCAGTGAGACAAATAAGCTTGATTTGTTCCATCTGCCAGAAACTCAATTTTAATCCAACCTCTTTTGCAGACTAGTGGGTTTACACTGCTGTACCTGACTCATGGCTGAAATTTTAGAACAGGAACTATAAGGCCTCTCTGTTTGCCTGTTCGAATGTATCTCTATGTGTCTTATAGATGTAAGGTAGTGCCAAAAACTAATTCGTGAAATTGACTTAAAGAAAATTAAGCGCTTATATAAATACTCAGAAACTAATCTGGCCAGAATGAACTTCAGTTTCACATCATCTGGAAAATATCTAGTACTAAACTGATGTCATCAATGTTATGTACCATGGTTTATCTATTGCTAATGTGTCAGCAAGAAAAATAACTCAACATGGAAAAACTTTTAAGGAAAGCATGTGTTTTCAGTAAAAGAAGGTGTGAGGAATGAAAAAATACTGAAAAGAGTTATGTACAATCATGATTTTCTAAGACTGGATTGAGTTTAGTTGGATAAATCGATTTTGGGAGGGCCCCTGAGACATCCCAGAGAGAAATATTTAACTAATAGTATTTAGTATGTTGGGAGTAAGTTAAAGTAACACCTAGATTTGGTTTTTCTTTCTGTTAAGCCTGCATTGCAAGCAGATTCTTTACTGTCTGAGCTACCAGTGAAGCAAATAAATACCGTCTCAGAGTAACAGGAGGCAAAGGGGCAGGGCACACCTTTGGAAAGAATGAATGTAGCCCAAGGATACAACATAGACCGATTACAATCAAAAGGGACCAAGACTAGCCAAGCTAGACCTTGATCCTCGATTGTAACTAGTGAAATGACACACCCAGAGGTGCCCTGACAGTTCCAAGGCACTGTTAAAAGACCAAGGAGTGGGCGGTTCCAGAAAAACATCCACTTCTGCTTTATTAGTCGA